TCCTTTCTGGAACTCATCGGCCTTCAGTGCCTTCAGCGTTGGATCCTGGATCTTGTCCGGGTGGCACTTGAGCACCAGCTTCTTGTACGCAGTCCTAATTTCCGACTTGTCTGCATTCCTCTCGATACCGAGAGCTTTCCAAGGATCGGGGGGGAGAGACGAGGTCATCTTGGGATAGTCGAGATGCGAGAAAAGCGGATCCCCGTCAAATACCAGCGCTGGGCGTCTGATAGAGAGCGGGAGAAGGAGAGAGAGCCGGTGAGGCAATTAGACAAATGTTGTGTAAGAGTCGTATGCGAAGGCAGTAGCAGTCGATAGTCGACTTTTGGGGGTGACTATTGCATCGGATGTGCGACGAGATGGCCTTGGCTCCGGCTGAAGGAGCGTGGGTGGTGGTGTTGCGGGGAGGCGTGTGCGGCGGTAGAATGAAAGGAAGGCTGGCTGCTCGCGGGGGTCCAAGGGTCGGCGGCCGGCGGCACAATTAGATGTACAAGAAATGCAGTGCTGTGATGGTCTTGGGGGGTGTGCGTGTTGCAAGGTCGTAGGACAGCAAGCGGGGGGGTGAATGGGGACTAAAAAGGGAGCGGTGGGAAGAAGGGGGCGTATTGTATATGGGATGAACAGGTCGGGCTGGTGGAGTACGCCTCAGCACCAAGCAACCGTCGTTGCCGTCGTGGATGGATCGTGGCTCGGCTGTTATTCCCTCGGTATGGGGACTCGATGACAAGTGCAAAACAAATGGGCAAAAGTCGGCCTGTTTGTTGGCCCGCTGGCAAAAGATGGTCAGGACCAGCCCAAAATCCGGCCTGTTATTCGAGCTCAGGTGGTGTGCTGTCGTGGTGTAAGGTGATGGGAGAGAGGGAAACAGGCGATGAGATCACCCGGTTCAAGAGGGTCGGGACCTGGGAAAGGCGGGATGGATGGATGGCTTGTCGGGCAGCGGGCGGCCAGGGCGGGTGAGGGGGGACCTTCCACGCATCGGCCAGGGCGGTGGGGCACTTTTGGGGGGAGACCTCTCGGCGGGTGATGGCTGATCCCCGGGCCCCGTTCCTGCCAAAAGGAGGTCGATGGAATCGATTGGGGGGCAACAGAGGTCGCTGCCAGTGAGAGCCCAGCAGATGGCTTCCCTGTGGGCACAAGATGGGGCCAAGGGGGGTCCGCTGCGGGTGGTTGTGGGGAGAAGGTGGGCCAGCAAGGGTTGCGCTGAGAGTCTTCGATTGGCTTCTTGTACCTTGCTTTTCCCATTTGGGATGGCTTACGGCATCTCTTCTGTGCGGACAAGCCAAGAGGTCCCCTCTCGGTCGTCCCTTCAGTTCTGTCGGCTTCTGTGCCCTCAGCTTTCGTTCTTGCCGCTAGCGATGTAGCTGCTCCGGACGTCTGCACACATGCCCCCTTCAGCGAGCGCGAGCAAAAACAGCCAAATGCACCAGCCTCAACGGCGGCGCTGCTAACGTTAAGCTGACGCGACAGGTGCCGCATCATGGATGACAGATCCGCAGCCCACCAGCAGGGTCTTCGATGACAAGACCCAAGACCTCCATTCATGCCGCGCTGGGATAGGGTATGAAAACAACAACACTGCCTGGGCGAGGCCAAAACGACCCCTGCACAAGCGGCCTCCAACCGGGCTTCGGCAAACAGCAACACTGCGAATGAATCACAAGCCACAGCCAAGCTCCACAAAAGCGCAAAGTCGCCCTTCCGTGGCAACGTGGAAGCTGAGCGCTGGGATGGAAATGAAAACCTTTCCAAGGTCTACGAGCCCCGGTATAGGTAGTTACGTGGACTTTGACTAAGCTCCTGGCTCCTAAGACTCTCGAATCGGACGACCGGCGTCTGAAGTTTCAGCCGTGCCACAACGGGAGGCGCGAAGTTCCGAGGCTCAAACCCAAGCACAGGTGGCTTGGGTTTTAACTTGCCGTGGCTGTGGCGGTAGACGAGGTCTGAGGAACGGGCTGCCTGTGGATTTTTCTATCTTGGTTGTGGCAACGCTCAGAACGACCGACGACCTCTAGATCTGCATCCTACCACGACTGGTCATGCCTCGGAGAAGGCGTTGACGAGTGGCCTGGACAATGTCAAGACGGGATTCGAGCAATTGTCGACGCCGGGCCGATAGCGGACGGTGCGCATCGGGAAGCAGAGGTTGCGGTCGGTGTTTCATGCGGCGCAAGAGAATCGGCGGTGAAGATGCAGCACAGGTCTTCACCCGGCAACGAGGTTCTAGGATCATGGGCGATGGGTCATCCCCATCAATCAAGGGCGGGTCGAATGTTCGACTGCATTCCAACGTGCAGTCCGTCCCAGACTTCTGGATTGACCGGGGAAGGCGGCCGTAGTTCCTTCTTCCTCCCGTCAGCCTCAACAGGCCACCAACTACATAAGTAGCCCTACAGATCACCAACTAGCCAACACGGCCTGGGTTGTCTTGTTTGTTATGCTGTGTTGGGCGGTTACCCTACCTTACGCTCTTTTTTGGCAACCCCTTTCTGGCATGCCGCTCTGAACCTACCTGTCAGGCGCTTGTATCACGAGTTCGTCTCGTCTCCTCATACTGGCTGGGCAACCCCACCTATCTCAGTCTCAACCCATGCGCCGCTACGCCTTTTGAAGCACGTTCCCAAAGCGCACTTCATCGAGCAATGGAAATGCAAGATTGGGCGCCATGTCTCGACGAGCTGCAAGACCCCATCGTGCGGCAGTTCGCAGCCAGACCATCTCCCGTCGAACTCCCGCTTTCCATCACATCTGAAGTGTCAGCCAGCGTTGCACTGTTGGAGAGGAACCAAGCCGCTCCCGAATCCCGATTCGATCGTGAAAGGGATGGCCGGGGCGACGCTGCGCCAGTGTGGTGCAGCCAGCGGACACGCGCAGCCATGCGAGGCGACTTGGCTATCGTTTTGTGGCTCTCGCCAACCATTCCCCTTCGGTTGTGATGTCCTGCAGGAGACGAGCCATCACCCCCTCAAGAAAGGCCCCGCGCCTATTTCATCACTTTGAGGCTTCCTCATGACTTTCAAGGCTCCTTCGGAGCCGTGGCACACAAAAGGGAATTGGCGAACCATGTTCGAACACCCGCCAATTGGCCCAGATTCCATCGTCAAATCGGCGCCAGCCGCGGACTCCCAACTGTCTCTTCTCAACCGTAGATCGGCTTGCAAAAGTTAAGGCCCACTGCGAGGTGGGATTCGTAGCGGGTGTTAGGTAAAAAGTCTTTCTGCAAGACGGGGTTCAATCCGCTGCCGTTGCCCTAGTGAGAGTTTCAACAGAAGGCTTTGTAACGCTGCCCCCCTCACAAACATGGCGCGGGGCGACACACCAACTACCACCATCACCACCCACGACCGCCCCGGCCAACCGCCTTTGGCCCATCCGGTCGACCTCGAAGCAGGTACGGTGGCACTGCCGTGCCTCCTGCTCACCTCACAAGGCAGAGGGCCATGCAGCACCGACACCTCGGGACGGCAATGATTGGGGCGCCGTAAACCCGACGGTGAGCCTCGAGGGGAGCACTGCACACCCTCACAACGAACCACGCGGGCCACCCTTTGGGTCCCGACCACACAGCAGCAGCCGACAGTCGATGACGCGAGTCATTGGCGGGTTGCTTCCATCTGGCCTCCCCTCCCCCCCTTTCCTTCTCTCCCGTCCGGATTGGCCAGGGGGACCTGCCAGCGTATCAGCGATGCGTGGTGCGCCGAGCGAAACGGTCTGTGAATGGACGATGCATGTGCTGGTGATGGTCCTATCAGCGGCCAACGCGGGGCATATTTGTGGTGTGGGGGCGCTGCCTCGTCTGCCAATCACCCGCGCCCGAGGCCGAATCTGCAGGGCGTTCAGCGGCACTCGATGGGCCTGTCTCACCGGCCGCCGCGGGGGAAAGCGGGCCATGGGGCACACAAGCCCGATCGGAACGTTTGGCTGCGCTTTTCCCCACGGATCAACCCGCTGTCAAAAACCAACACGGGAACGTGGTGCCTGAGGGGGATGAGGGGCCGCTGACTGTGCCTTGTGCTCGGTGGTGTGGTGTGTAGGTAAGCAACGGTTCGGACGGTTCGGACGGCAACCGTTGGTCAGGCATGGTCAGCTGTTGAGACCTGAAGGAGACACGCACTGTCTCTGTTTCTTGTTTTCTATCCTTTTCGACGATGGCATGATGGTCATTCCTGATCCACGTTTCGAGATCAGCGTGAATTGCCGGTTCCACGCTATCTCTCAGACCCCCATCCTCAAACTGAGACTCCTGTCTTCCGCAAGACTTCCTTTCCCGTAACAGGATCGTATTTCCGATGGTCTACTGGAGCTTTCTGCACCGCTCAGGAGACCCACGTTGCGTTTTAGCGAGTCGGAGGTTGAAAGCTGCGACTTTACCCCGCCAGAAAACGCACGTTACCCCTCCTTGCCCGCTTCCTTCACCAAACCTCGAGAGACACCATCCATGGATTCATCGATGTGCAGAAGTTTCGTGGGAGCGGCAGAATGATTGGTACCGGATTATTTCTGCCGCGTGGATCGATCACAGAGCCCACTCTCCTGCCTTCTGATGGGGGCGGGAAATCCTCGTCCGATTAACCAAGACTTTGTGACACACAAACCCACCTTGGTAAGACGATGCGGTCAGGGAAAAAAAATCGAGAAGCAAACTCTTTGTGTAGTCCGCGTTCTGCGATTCGTCCGTTGACCGATGCCCACCGAGTAACACATCTCACACGCAGTTGGCCGCTCTATGCCCTTGTGTGCATTGGCGGTGAGTCGCCCGGAGTTGGCTCCAATTCGTGGTCTGGCCTCCGATCGAAAAACTTCCGCGTCTTCTATTTGTCCTTCGGTGCTTGCGCCATCCTATGGAGAAAAGGGGACGGGGGTAGTCGACAGCCCCCGGCTGCTTGCGTCGTTGCCGCCGGGTGAAAGGCCAAGCGTGCCCGTGTCTGGCCTCGGTTTCTCAGCTCGAAAACAAGCCTGGTGGTGCGAGGCGACCGCGCAATACGGCGAGCGGCTGTGTCATGGAACTGGTGCAGTCACCGGTTGATTCATTCACTATACCAAACGTCCTCGCGTAGTGTACTTGGATAATCATCCGCATGAAGGGTTGTATCATATCAGCGTCCACCACCAACCACATCGAGGCTGAGTTCTGAGGTGAGATGACGCGAGTATTGGATGGATCCTTCGTGTTAAGTCCAAGAGCAAGATTACGGGTTACGTAGACTGTTACCATGTGTCCTGTTCAAGCTCGGCCTGTGGCTAAATTATGGGGGCAAACTTCGACAACGCTCAACAGGGGAACAGTGAGTCGTCTAGCTCGTCTCGCTGTTTCCCCGGGTTCGTGATATCTGTCATTCCCCTTTTATCGGTTTCCTATTCCGTGCAAGAACGAGGGGACCAGTCACCTGAAGCCCGGTCTCCTCGCACCGAGAGGGGCTGTCTATGTAGTAATGCATTGAGGGACGCGGAAGTCATCATGAAGCAACCGGACCTTGCTTGACACCGACATGCACCGGTGCGTCCTAGTCGACACACCTCACCCCCACACCGGCAAGTCAAGGTCAACCACGATCGGCTTGTTGAACCGCTTCCCCCCTGTATGCGGCCAGCCCGTGGCAACAATAGCGCAGTTGACAATGCACGTTTCTCGTCTGCCCGTGCGGTCCGTCGCGGCGGCGGCGGCGGGCTGCCCCATGCTTTCGGAGATGGCGCCCCCATGCTCAACCGCCAGAGCTGAATCAGGGTTCCCGACCCGCGCTTCCGGATCCCCCGGCCCCTCCCTATCCTGACCCCCGGGCCCGGGATGGGACGAGGCACATGGGAACCGTTGGGCTGGCGGGTCCGGTAAGTGCTCGGGCGTGTCACCGGCTGGTTGTGCGGCGTTCGTAAAATCGAGAGGGTGCTTCCCCCCGCGCCCTGTGAGGTCAACCAGGCTGATCTTGGCGGATGATGGATCCGGATTGGGATCTTCCCATGCTTCCACGGAGGCCTCGGCAGCAGCCTCGTCTTCGGTGGTGAGGCGGTCCGTGTCCCATCTCACGCGCTCCGCTCCTCTGCCTTGGTGAACGTGGCCGCACACGTGGAGTCGGGGTCGTACTTTGGCGAGCGTCTTCCGCAGCTCTACACATCCGTACTCGTCATCGCAGTGTGAATAGGGCGGCGTGTGGGTGACGAGGATGTCAGTGGTTGGGGGAATGGCTGCCCATAGCTCTGTTGCCGTGTTGGCAGAGTCTGACGATTCTGGTTTGTGACTCGTTGAACGGGGGTACATGAAGGCCCATGTGCCATATTGGGGACTGTAAGGGGATCCAAAAACGGTGAATTCGGTGCCGGGACCGCCAGGCTTCGTTAGTCTAACGGTAGCGCTCTCGTTCTGGAGATATGTGATAGTGCGGCTTGAAGTAAACAGGGATAAACACTTTGCCGGATCTTGGGGGGTTTGGTTGTGGAAACTTGATCCGTGCTTCGAGTAGAAATCATGGTCAAGCGTGATATCATGGTTTCCTATGCCGCATCAGTCCTTGCGAAGCCACCACGCTTTGATGGACCAGTTCCGACCTGCAATAACAATCTTGGCCTCAAAGTCAGCCTTTTCGAGCCATTGAACAGCCTTGGAGAGCTACACAGAAGTGTTAACCATCCCATCTTATTCTAAAATGGATAGGCTTCGAGGCACGGCAAAATCGCATAACTATGGTGCCTACCTCGGAGTAGCTCCCCTGGTTCGTGAGGTCGCCAGCGTGTATCAGGACATCGCCCTTTGGCAGCTTGACAGTGGAATTATGGGTGTCGCTGATGCACACGATCCTGGTCCGGCGTGTGAGACGAGGAGTCAATGATGAAGTCGACATGATTTTTTTTTTCTTCAATCTCGGCTTAGATTTTCCGATATTAGGTTTTTGGGACTAGGGTTCGTCTGCCCGACCAATATTGGAACCCTCAGACGTTGTCACCCAACACACAAAATCGACTCCGTTGTCAGAACAATTGACTCTAAGAGATGAGGTGAAGGTGAATAATATTGTGTGATAAAGGTGATGAAGGTCGATCTCGTTGAATTTCATGTCCCGTTATGGCGAGGGATGTACGGAAATTTACCGACGGTACGGGCATCCATCGCCAGTGGCGGCGAGTCCCGTTCCATGGTGTTGGCGGAATGGCGGTTGATGGTTCGCAAATGGCAAACCGAAGAGGGAAGCAAGACCCTGTAAATCCGCGTGACCCACATCATTGGCGAATAGAGTTACGAAGGCAGATTAATGGAGCTGGTACCCCTGTCAGATCCAGTCGACGGCGCCCCCTTGAAGCGAATTCTCGAAGCTCTTCACGTTGGGGAAAACAGAAGGGCCATTCACAGGCCGCCACTCACGAATCTCGCTGGAGTTTCTGGCTGGCCTTGGATCGCCTGCAGCAATCGACACCAGACTAAACAAAAGAGAGAAAGGCTAGTCGAGGGATGCGCTATCTAAGCCATCAGACGCCCCTCATCTGTTAGCTGGCAGGCGTCAGTGCTGCTGCAGCGATCGAGCCTCACTTTCGGGCTCGCATCAATCATCCTGCCGACCCGACAAGTCGACTGCACCTCCTGACGACAATCTGCCCGTGATCTCTGCCAGAAGGCTGCAGCATCCCGCGACGCCGGACAAACAAAGGGTGGCAGATAAGAAGGAAAGCTTGGAACCCGCCAATGCAAGGAACGAGAGTTGCTTTTTTAGGAGGCAGGATCTGGCACCTTTGATCCACGAAACACCAGAATACCCACGATTGGCAACACACCGCCACCACCAACCGACCCGATACCCGACCGACGCTGCTCAACCTAGCAGTAGTACCTACAATTCACGAAGCTGTCCTCGTAGCAAAACAAATCGGTCACATTTCCGGCGCATGCGTATTCTGGAAATTGTTCTGCCGAACCTCTGAGAATCTGTTGGCCAATTTTGGCCCGCTGGAGGCTGGGCCGGGCGCGAGACCAACCATCGTCCCACCCTCGCCGACAGCCTCAAGCATTCGACACTTTCAACGACACTCCGTTCTCTGTACTTAGAAGGGCGACGCCTCGGACGGGGTGGATTGAGATTTGCAATCTTGCCTCGTAATCGCCAGAATTGAATACCCCGAGCCACCATTCGACTCAACTTTCCCGACATCGCTCGGCGTTGAATAGCAAGCGGGGTGGCCCGTTAATGAAAGGATGGCGACCGTTTCTCAGACTGCGACGGCTCTGACGCCGTCGCCTTATTTATGGGAAGATACTCTACCCGCCGAAACCGAGGTAAGATGCCATGATGACTCTGTTTGCTACGCCCCTCCAGATCCCAACAAAGGCGATTGACTATCCTTTCTCCCCGCCCGCCCATGCCCCGCCCGTGTACTCAACACTAACGCGTCCCTGTCTCTGCAGAATTTCCAGAATGAAAAAAACACACTGAACGAGCACGGTCTCTCTACGTCTGGTCGCCTGCCCCTGGCATCTCAAAATGGTAACTCGACTCTGCGCACTGCTACAAACCCGGAATCCTTGCCGCAAGCGTACAGCGGTGATGACCAAGGCGTAGTTCATTTGAACGCCCAGGGCATCAATGGAACCCACCCTCCACCCCTTGATCACAAAGACATGATGACCCCACGGAGCACCAAGGAAGATGAGGCTCCCCAGGGCTCCTTGGAGCAACAAGACACCGCGAACGGAGTACAGCCTAAGGATGGACCCAGGAAAGTGTCGGGGAAGCGCTCGCCGGATTCAGACAGCGACGAGAACTCGAAATGGATTCACCGAGATAAGCTTGCCAAGATAGAGAGCGCGGAACTGCAGGCCGCGGGGATCTTTGTCCCCCGTCAAAGAGACAGGGCGAGGTCAAAGAGCCAAAACAGGCCGAGGCGTGATCAGAGCCAAGATAAGATGAATGGGTCGGGCAGGTCGATCGGAGGCTCGGAGTACACAGTTTCAAGGTCGAGGAAGAACTCGGCGGCAACGACGACAGACGTAAGGCTCCTTGAACAACCGGCTACCCCTAGCTGGGATTTGCGGCGGCCTGAAGAGATTCTTGAAGAAGGAGACGGGCACTGGATGGCGAATGGTAACGGGAAGGGCTCGTCCCGGATACCCGTGGCAAAGACCAGCCCTGTGCCGCTACCGAACGAGCACCTCGCACGAGACACACGACTGGCGCGGAAACGGGATGGCAGCCCCGGCGGAGAGGAAACCATAACGTACCCTAAAACCCGTACGAGGAGTGGTAGCACAGGCAACGCGCTGGGACTTGCGAAGCCCGCAGGCATGGCTTCGACGCCGCAGCCAAACAAACGGCCTGATTCTTCCCCGAAGAAGCCCGGCACAGGCACAGCGGCGAGAAAGCCAAAGCCGGCCAACGGGGCTGCAGGACGACCAAAGACGCGAGGCGGCCCGAGCAAGGACTCGACGAGCAGCGGCACCGGGACTCGACCATCCACCCGATCCGGCGAACGTGAGTTCTCTAGCAACAACTCCAAACCGATGGAGGGTGAGCCTCCATGGATGGTTTCGGCTTATCGGCCCGACCCACGGCTACCCCCAGACCAACAACTACTACCGACGGTGGCGAAGCGGTTGCAACAGGAGAAGTGGGAGCGGGAGGGTAAATTCGGGAGCATTTACGACAAAGAGTTTAGGCCGCTCACTGACGAGGGCTTCCTCAAGCCCCCCGAGGCCGGCGCCCAGGATAAGGAGGAGGTCGAGAAGCAAGTCGAGGAAGAACAAAAAGAAGAGCAGGGAGACTGGCCACTCAAAGCAGAACCCAAGAGCCCGACGCTTCCCGGGAGAACGAATTCTTACTCCACCATGCCCAGGATTTCCGACGCACCGGCCGCCAACTCTATATCGAGTCCCAGGACGCCGGCGCATCAAGCTCAACCGTCACAAACGCCAGGGGTGCCAGAACCCACCGATGAGCCCGAGGATAAGAAAGCAGGCTGTGGTTGCTGCATTGTGATGTGAGCCGACCGCGTTGCCCTGGCCACAATACGAAGCGTTGGTCGTCATCCCGGCGTCCAAAACCCCATAGTACTGCAACCAAGCTTTGCGCCAGTCAGAGGACAGACTTGTCCCCCGTACCATCATTTCCTAGAAGACTTCCGGAAAGACCAGCCGGCTTATGACGAGACGATTTTTTCGGTTCCAGGCGCCGTTCCCACCCCCCCGCCCGGCCCATCACACATGGCCTACACTTTACCTTCCCCCCCCAGGCCTCGTCTTGCTTCCTTTTGTTCTCCTATTTCATACCCGCTTTGGCCCGTTGCTGTACCTATCTGGTTCGTTGAGTCCAACATACCATCCCAGCGGAGCCCGATACGCGCAGCAAAGAGCCGAAGCACCACCGCCAGTACATACACTCGTGGCCAGGAGCCACGGGGACCTTTTAATACAGAGGGGAGGATTCCTTATTTAGCCTGCGCTGTTTCTCACTTTCTTTCGTTTATTTTGGGCGTGTCCAGTCCAGATATCTGTCCGACTTGGGACTATCGCAACTGGAGATACCTGCTCGCACCGCCATAACCACACATCAAAACGAGGGTGACCCCATTTTCCTTTATTTTCGTTGTCTGGGTGACTGAAGTGATCTTGGCTTATTGACAGAGGGAAGGGGGAGAGTGCCATGCCCAACCATGTTGACTGGCGTCGTTGTTTTTCCCTTGGGCTGTACATATTAGACCGTCGAGGGGGGTTCGTTCTGAGTGGCTCCCTGCTTTTTTGTTGGTAAGCAGGGGAAGGGGACGGGGCGCTTCCAACCGGTTTATTGGGGAGTTGCGGTTTTCGAGGGTAGCATAGCTGGGCAGCAAGATAGAGAAGCTCGAGATATCTTGATGTCAAACACGTCTACGATCGTGGGTGAATGCTGGTACCGATGGTGTGTGACTGTCCTGGCGTGATTCTGCGCGCCCCTGGAGCAAAGCGAGGGAGCCGACCAGTCAACGCCGCCCAACAAAGCAGCACTTCCTGATCAGCCTTGCCATCCCCTCCCCGTCCCCCCCGCCGGCCCTCCTCGCCAGCACGCAATGCAAGGCCACGTGCTCGACAACAGCCTGCAATGCAAGCAAACAAACAACCCAAACGGGCGGAGAACGCCGTCCGCATGCAAGAGCTCAACCCTCAGGTTGCCCATCGAGGTACTCAAAGAGGTACGTACCGGCCCAGGTTGGCAACAACCAACAACCGCCGGAGAAGGCCGCCAACATCCCACATCCCGCTCTCCCTCTCGCACACACAACCCCCGCCGTCCTCCGCTCCTTTGCCCATCTCTTGCCATTTTGTTCCCCTTCGCCGAACGGTCTGCCTACGCGTCAGGCAGGGATGGAGCAACTTCGGCGTCTTTCTTTTCCCCCGCTCGGTCAAACGATTGCGGCGTTTTCCCCCGCTCGGCCAAACTAGACGGTCTAGGCAACATGGCTAACGTGGGTTGGGGACGTGGTGGAGTGAAACATCTTTTCTTTTTTTTTTTTTTGGCCCTTCCGCGTTTGTTTGCCATCGGATAGATAGATCACTGGACGCCTACGCGGAGTGGAGATGGGACGGGGAAAACCGTTTGGAGGGATGGGGGTGGAAGATGGAGACGGCGGGGGATGGATAGAGATGGAGCGTGCTGGAAGCGGCGGCGAGCCTCGTCTCGCGAGGTTAAGGTTATTGTGGCGGGGAGGCAACATGCCAACATGCCATGCCATCTTCAGCAGTTACGATCATGACTCGGAGGTGATGGTGGGGTTGGGGCCCCCGAAGTGTATCGGGCGGTTTCGGCGCGGGCTAGATGCCTTTCTTGAGCCGAAGTTGGGAGAGTGTTCGGAGGGGCGCTCAATGCGGCGGCGGTACCCGTTTGTGGTATGATGTCGATGGGAGAAGAGTCAGACTGGGGAAGGTGCAGCTCTGGCGAGAACACACCACGAAAGCCCCCACAGTGATCATCGCGGGCTCCCGCTGATAGCGGCCGTTACAGATGATTCTCGACACTGGGATCGTCCGGAGTCCTTCGCAATCAGAGCATATCTGATGCACATGCTCTGAAGCCTTGGGGGAGATTACCTTCATTCTACTCTTGTTTCAGCCAACAACCTGGATGCCTGGCGTTTTCTCCTGCGCCAAGGAAAAACTCCAGCGATCATCCCGTCTCGTGCTCGGGCAGCTGGTGTAATAACCGTAACGCATCTCGGAGGGTTGGACAAAACCAACTACATCTGTTTCGAATACAAGAGCTCCCGGGATGTTTACCTTTTCTGGAGAGATAACGCCTGGAAGGCCGGTTACGGTCGGTCCTAGAACTCGCGGTATGCTTCGTTGACTGACTGCGGGGCGTGGTGAGTACGCGTCAAAGATGACTCTGTCCCCGGGCCACATACCTCGCGCGGAATAGTTCACTCTCCTTTTGCGTCGAATCGCTGACTCACTCAGCAGAGCTTGTGTTACATGTTGTTGAGACCTTAACTGAGAATCAAGGAAACGGCAAGGAACGTATATACGCTTAGTGTTCAATATTCCGTTATCCAATTCCGTTTCCTATTCATACCAGGACGGAAATACATAAGCCATCCAGCCTCACATCGCTCCTACCAAGGAAGTGAGCTTTCGTCATGATGTCCGACCCAGTCAAGGAGAGACAACTTGCGACGGGAATTCACTACTGGCAAGTGTTGAGCATAATGTTGAGGATCAACCAATAGACGCCAAAGAGGAAGAGAGAGAGTGTGTGTGTGTGTGGTGTTGATTATTTCAATTACTTCCACTTATCTGTTTGGTTTTCCAAAAATGTGGACACAGGGGTGGCTGAGAATGGCCAAAAAAAGGTAGGGTCTCTTTGAGTGTATCGTTTATAACTTGGCCAAATGGCCGAATGCCTGCTTTGTCCGAAGACGAAATGTCATTCATTTTCATAGGCATATATTCGATGGGTTATGTATGTGCTCTTCGTCAGCCCCATTTCACCAGCATCGAGCACTCACTGCTTGCATGATATTTGCGATGTCCCTCAATCACCATCATCTAGCTGCGGAGGAAAATCGATGGTTTTCTTCCCGTTGAAGTTACGACACACCGCAATGTCAAAAGGGGGTCAGGTGCTAACAACTCTAATGTTAACTACCTATCTTTTGACTTTCAAATACCGATTATCCACGTTGTTTTTCGGACAAGCGTGGTTAAGACGGTAACGGTGACGAGTAGAAAAAGGGGGCGAGAAAAATATGCTTAGTTTAGGTAGTCTATATTCTATTGCGTTCCGCTTGCGTGCTTGAGGCAACTAATGGCTACTCGTTACCCTCCAAGCAACTCTAGAGGCGCGTATTAGCGCTCTCCTACATCTTGGAGAAGCGTAACGGTTACTGTACAGCTAGAGTGAGTTAAGGAGAGGGTCATGAGCAGATAGAATAACGAGAGTATACGAATAGATAGAAAGGAAGGAAGTTCTAGGATTTTAAGGAGGGAGGGAGGCTACGATGGTATACGCGAGCCAAGCCAGTAGCCTCGAGGCTTGAATGTAGTTGGTTCGCATCCCTGTCCAGGGGACAGAATCACGGCGCCGAAAATGTATCCTCATCGCCAATGCGCGAGATGTGTCTTGGAGAACCGCGATGGGCGTGAACGACGTAGAATGAGCAACGTTTTCTGGCCTCCGTCGGCGCCGCTTGTCGTTACGGAGGCGGCCCCGGTTTGGGGACGTCCAGAACAGGATCCCGTCTGGCAAAATATCGGGCGAGCGTCAGGTCAGGCTTGCTGTGTGAGCAACCGCAGCTGGATTCGGCACAGCGCCAGAGATTTTTGCTTTTTGTTCGTTGCACCTTCTTAACAAGTGCCAGATCTGCAACAGTTTTGACGATGGTTGGCCGGAAGCGAAAATCCGATCGATCGGTCTCGAACCTCGCACTCGCATGCCAAGCACGGGAGATGGCTGAGACGGCGGGTCCTCCGGAATAGGGCTGGATAGGCCCATGTCGCCCGGTCAGCGCCTGATCAACCAGTTTTTTTCCTGCATTCTGGGAGATTGGGCGATCGGGCAAAAAGCGCTTTGAATCGTAAAAAATGCATTTCCAAGCTCGCAGCTTGGTGTTTGGCATGTTTGGCCTTTGGGTATCCACCAAACTTGTTTCCTCGAGATTGAGCACATCGGTAGGTGGGTCAGAGGTGAAACGTTCCTGCGTCCCACAGGATATTAAGGTCGGAGGACGGGTCCCGCTAAGGAAAGAGCCCGCATGAACGAGATGACTTTTTTCCTTTCTTGAGTCCAATGAGCTAACTTGTTACGTCGTCCATCGATCGGGAAACTGAAAAGAAAAAAGGGGGGTGGGTGTGGTGGGTGGGAAGCAGCTTCTTGGTGCAACCGGAAGTTTCTAGCATCGGGAATTGAATCGAGGGCGCCCATCATGGCCCAAGTTCCTGACGACTGGGAATCGCCGATCAAAAAGCAGCTGCAAGCTGAGAAAAGTGGAGCGGCAACATCCAGTCGAAGTTCATTGTCGGAGCCTCATTCCCCGTCCCTAGAAGGAGCGGTAGGAAAACGCTTTGCTTGGCCGTCCCGCGACTTCCCATTACACGACATGCGAGTTCTGACCGACCGAATGGCCGACAAGGCTTTGCAGTTTGGCGACGCCGGATGTGAGTTTTGCAGTGTCCCGTGATGACATTTACGCGGAGATACTGGCTCTAGTTCTCTTGGCGCAAGCTCTCGTGGCCTTGGTCCAGACTTGGCCGCACTGACACTTATGTAATCGGTCTGCTGGAGCCTGGACTTCCAAAACGCGAGCCCGAATCGAGGTAGTCGGGCGAAATCGCGTTCTGGATTGTGGACGCAAATCTGAGCATCGAATCTTTCAAAACCCGAATCTAGACTGACCGGCAGACTGACTCCGGGCTGGTGGTCTGGTGATTGTGCAGTCAGCAACCGCTCGGGCTAGCCGCAGGATTAACTAACTAGTCAAGGGTGGCGGCCATCACTTGGCTCTGTGTTTAGCTATGTCGATGACAGCGCCACTCGTTCGATCCCCAGCCGTGCGGGAATATCAAAACACTCTCGCGCAGTTCGATCTGGAGGCGCGAGGCGATGGAGGAGGGATGGTGCCTGTCCGAGCCCGTTTACAAGGACACATGGCTGAACCACCACCGGCAGTAAACCACTGCAAACGGCACGACTTGTGAGTCAGCCCTCATCACGTTCGCCGGAGCTTCTCGAACGAGCGGAAGACCGAAGAGATCGAACGACAATCTTCGATTTCCAGTCGCAAACCCCGATCACTGGGCTGCGTTTGTGGAGGGTGTCGAAACGGCAGGCGATTCTGTCCAATCACAGTTGTCTCGGCATGCTCGCCGTTTGGATAACTTTCCAGCATGCGCGGTCCCGGCTGTACGCATGCAGTGTAATTTTCGGAGGAGTTGGTTACAAGGTGAAATCACCCCGGCATGCACATCCTTGGCTCCTGGCTCCCTGACAACCTGGACACCCCTGGCTTCCCAAATGGACCCACATTGGCCAGACCCCAGCCCTTTTCAGTTGGTGGGACCGAAACCAAGCCCCAGGCCTTGGTCTGGCCCAGCCCACCTCCCGCAAATCCCACTGCTCCCCCGAATAAAGCAGCGACACACCCCCCTCCAACTTTTGCACCCTGACATCTAGAACACGCCCAGACTTCCAACAACCAGACTTGCAACAACCAACGCTTCCCTATCTATCTATTCCAATGGTTCTCTCCTGGCTTCGGCCTCGAATCGATAGATAAACCAACGTTCCCCGAGGCGATCATTTTGCCCACAATGCCCGCCACTGCAACACGCCCACCACAAGTTCCATATACCGGCGGTGCCTCATCCTCGTCTTCATCATCTTCATCGTACTCGGCATCCGACTCGGATCTTCCGTCTTCGGGCACCATGAGCTCGACAGTCGCCGTCCGGACCAGCATGGAGTCAGTATCCCGAACCCCGGTCCAGGTCGCCGTCATTCGCTGCCTAAGGTGCGCCCGCGCCGAAGAGCTGACCTCGACCGACGACCCGAGGCTGTCCGGCATGGTTCAGATTGGCACCAACATCTACTATTGCAACCGCTGCGCCAAGATGGTTGGCTACACTTGAAGGGTGTCCCCCAAAGGGGGATGTGTAGAACAGAACGGGACGGACGGACGGTGAACCATGGATTTCCTTGGGCAGAATGGAAGAAGTCTTTCCCTGGGACGAACATTATGGCCAACCGCTCAACGCCCGAACGTTGCAGCCACCGGTTTTACCGTTTGAGGGTTTTGCGTTACAAAACCCGGGACGGTTCCATCCATCTCACAAAGATGGGAGGAGATGTGGTCAGAACTGGGACCCTTTGGATCGTGCGGCAGAAGCCGAACCCCGGCGACACCTGTATCTCCGGATCGCCGGACCCGCCGATTTTCTCGGCCGACCGAGGCTGAGCCGTGAGCCGCAGCCGTTTGCTTGTCGCGGACCTCGTCCGGCTCGCCCGGCTTTTCCGGCTATGCAGGCTTGGCTAAACACCCCTGACGAAACATCCCGCCAACGCAGGAGGTGGAACTCTCCCAACCGACCTCCGCTTCGCATCCGCAATATTAGGTCCGATAACAGACTCGGCCTTTTTCTCGCCAACCTTTTTGGCAATCATCAGGCTCAGTTCTTCGAGGGAAGCAACAAGGTCGGCAAGAATGCCGGTCGCGTCGCAAAGGCTTCACTTCCCTTTCCTACCATCCCACAACACAACGCGACACCCCATCAAATCGACTCACCCACAAGCCTCAATCTCTCTTGTCGCAGCGCGGTATCATCATCGTGCGTCAGGGCGCTGCAAGTTCTGGACCCTCGACACGCCATTGGGCGGGATCGCTCGCCTCAACTTGCAACATACCCTTTTCCGCCAATCGTGGGGTTCACGATACCACCCCCTGGGCTTTGCCAAGCCGCTGACGTCGACGTGCTTCAACTCATCCGCACCTGGCTCATCTTGGTTAACAAAATCGAGAGGGGTCGACGCATGCGACAACACCATGCAACAATACACTGCATGGGCGGCTGGACCCAGGCCCGGAAGGGGACGCCGGCGTCTTGTTTTGAGGCCTTTTTACTCTTTTCGTGGACACTTGTCGCTTTCACACGCATGCATCTCGAAGATGTTTTGCTTACCCGGCCCGGCGAAGGTCACTTTCTCCCCTCTTTGTTTTTTCATTTTTCATTTCTACTCGAGCGCTAGGGTATTTGTGGGTTGGTCTGTTACTTGGGGGTTGTGATCTTTCAGCGACGGCGTTTCTGGGCAAGGAGGTTGGGGTAAAGAGGGGCATCACCAAAAAAACGGGAGGGACGGAATATACGGAACGAACACCGCACCACATGCGGGAGCCACGGGATACCAACACTATCGGGTTACGTTTTGGGTTGAGTTGTGGGCATGCGGGATTAGATGCACTATACCACCTTGTCGTTCGGGTCATCCTTTAGCTTAGCATCCTCATTGATGAGTGAGGGAACCACACAAATCGAGAAATGGGTTCACCCCCTCTAAAACTGCTCCGTTCCATCACTGTTTGTGTCCTGTTTGCTGCCCTGAATGATCTGCTTCTATCGACCCAGCGATCCGTCTCTTAGCAACCATTTCGTGCTTGATTGAATGAAAATCTGGGGTCTGCAGCGCGCACATGCACCTCCACACACAGTCAGACTGCGCTAATAAACCACACCCAATCGCCTCGTTTCGTTTCAGCGTCTCATGTGCCGTGCTGCCAACTGATCCCGAAGCGGAAAGAGGCCAGAGGGCCAGCAGCAGCAGCAGCAGCAGCAGCAGCAGCAGCAACAGCTTGCAACCCCAGCGAGGGATGGCGCGCTGCCGCTGCTGCTGCTGCAGTGCCAGCTCACCACCCACCCATCCCAACGCCCGCTGCGGCCGTCGTTGGCCCCGAAACTGAGATGGAACCAATCGCACCCGACCGGCCTCTTTTCAGGGCTTCCCCCCTTACGGATATTTTACTACCTACCCTCTACGGACCGCCACCCATCCCTCCCCCTCTCCGCTGGCAGTTTTCGCCGGTCTCTTTTGCCCATGTCCCACTGCAGCCACCCTGATTCCTGTGCATAAAGGATGGCGGGGGGAAGGCTGCTGTGTGCAGTGGCCGGTTTCCCTAGATACTCCAACTGCAGGCGGGGAAGGGGGCTGCTTCTCGCCTGGCGAATCTTGCTGAGCTGAGCTGACCCTGCGAGGCGTAATGCAGCGTTTCGTGTCTGCATGTCTGTGATAACCCCCGGCGTGAGTGTTTTCTGTGTTGGGGGGGGGGGAGATGTTCGGCCTTAACATGCCATGCGTGAGGCTGGGCTGGGGAAGGATCGCCGCGCCGTGGCGCGATGCGCGCCCCTGACCTGGAGCTCCATGGTGGTATGAAGGGGATGGTACGTATGTACATGCCGGCGAGGGAGGTGGTGGGAGCGCCGTGATCGAGATGGGTGTTGTGTTTCTTGTTAGGCTTCAACGGGACTAGGCCGTTACTGTTTCTAATCCTTCGTGATTTGGGCTAGTTACTCTCCAAGGTTAGGGCCAAGGCACCAGGAGTTGGCGAGCCATTCCTGATGTTAAGGAAAACCTTTGCAACTTGCAAGTACACAATATCCACCATACGAATACATGCCAGCCGTTACAATTGTTATACTTGTTGCAGTGGATACTTCGCCGGACGGACAACCACCAGCCATCAGTGACCGTAGCCTCTGTGCAGCAAGGGATGGCCTCGGGATGGCCTGGAAAATCGACCTCTAACCTCTGAAGGGAACGACATTTTGTGACTATGAAATGTGTCGTCTTGGCTCGAGACCGCCCACAGGTCTCTTACAGCGCCTGGAGGGTCCTCGTTTTCGGACAGATGCTACCGACTCTGGGCCCCGTGCCTCTCCGTGTCTCCCCACCGAAACCGCGTCCATTCCAGGTCCTTGGCAGGCGCCCCGCCGCTTCCACGGTCGGCATCGGTCGGCATCCGTGATTCACAACTGGTCGCCGATGACGTTCAACAAGGGAGAGAGCATTCCCTCTCCACTCTAGCCCGTTCTAGACTTGGGACGGCCTCTTTGGCGATGATCGACAAAACGCTCCGTGGTTCATGCCTGCTGGCCGACGGCGTGCTTGGCTAGGGCCGGAACGGTTACACTAGCGAGACAAGGCGACCAAGGACTAGTTCACTTAGTTCACTTGCCCGTCCCGACCACAGATGAACTCAGGTTCGTCAGGGCACAGACAAGGCCGGAAAAAAGGGGCATGACACCATGGGGACCCATCAGCCAGAATCCCACCCTTCGACCCTTCGACCCTTCTTCCGTGACCCGCCAGATGACCTCATGTCGCATTCTGCCCTGCGTCCGCCGTTGCGTTGAGACTAGGACTCCGGTAGTTAAAAGCACCCCGAGACGGCGCCTCAAGGCGCCCACTTGGATACGTGATATGACGACGCGTGGGACCGCGTACTCCATTCACCGCAGTTCTCGATCGCCCCGATCGCCCCGATTCGGAAGGCTAGACATCATTACCGACGTCAACCCGAGACCCTGCCGTGTAAGACATCATGGTCAGACATTGCAAGGCGTCAGAAACACCCCTGGGGCTTGGTTGGTCCACAGCCTAACACAATTCGATCGTCACACGAGCACAGCATTGACAACAAGGTCTCGCTGGCAAAGGGATGAACGTCAGGTTGAGGTAACCACCGCTGTTCCGTCTTCATCGGACCGGAAGGCCAACAATGACTTCCCGAGGACGGGTCGGGGTGATGAACACAATGACAGACTCGGCCCGGTTGTCCTCGGGGAAGCCTTTGAGAATGAAAAGTGTGAATACCTTCAAAAAGCCATCGAATCGCCGGACCGGACAGCATAAAAAGTACACAAAGCAGCCAAGAGCAGGCAGGAAACCCATGGGAAACAACTCCGGACGTTTTGATCCGGCATCCCATCAACAACCAGGACAAACCCAAGCAAAACCAACCAAACTCAACCAGAAACCTGGCAGAACCGCATGCAGTCGTCAAGATCCTCGCCTCGTTTCGGACGGCGCCGAGCGGACCGCGACTGGAACCACCCACAAGAACACCAGGATTTGGGTATGCTGATGGAGCCCAGAAAAACCGTTGTTCGGTAACTACCTCGTTATCATTTCCTGCTTTGTGTCTTCCCTTGCGTTAAAGTACGGCTAGCGTTTCCACTCTGGCGGTCTAAAACCGGTATAGCGCATCCTGCCAACCGCCGCGGGGATCATTCTCCCTGTTCCCGTCTCCCAGCGTCGCACCCGATCCGTTGTTTCGATGGCCGTCTGTTGCAGCACGCTTTGAATCGACGCAAGGGGTGAGGGATCGAAAACCCCATCACATTTCTCGATGTGTCGCTGCGACTGAGAGGGGATTGTTACCGTAATTCGTTACATCACGTATTTGCTGGTCAATCGAACATTGCGACGGCGGACGCAACGGAACTGCGAACGGTAACCAGACCGTTTTTTGTTTGTTTGAGATGCTTGTTGCTTGCTGTTGGTTTGTGGATGCACACCGTTGGAGTTGTTTTCACTTGCCCGGCACACCAATTCGGGTTCGGTGTGCCAAGGTGAGGCTGCCACGACCTCCGCAGGACCGATTGGAATCTGATAAATATCATTTCCAAACGCGTGAGGTAACGCCTGACCCTTCCCTCGTGCTTACGCCCTGTGTGCATTCACATGCTAGGCTGTTTTGTCGCATGCATGTGAAAGCCCAACACCGGCAGCCTGGGACGGGTGCCAAAGCCAACCAAATCCGACACCACAACACCACCATCCCGAATCCCTTCACCTACCATCCCACGCCCTTGAGACACAATATATAAAGTGGTGGGGGTCAGGTGTCGACGCAGCTGACCCTCCCATCTGAGCCCACCCGGTCTGGACTCTGTCACTTTTCAACTCGGAGTCATCCTATTTCGTCTCATCCCACCGTCTCATCACATCACATCACCCTTCCATCTTGACATCCGCTTTCTCCTGTTTCGGCTTCTTGTCCATGTTCTTCAGCAGATAGCTCCTCTTGAAGTACTCATTCGGGTGCACGATGGTCTCGAGTTGCGCTGCCGTCATGATCCCCTCCTCCTTGGCCCGTTTGATTTCCGTCTTGTGGATATGTTCAAACACACTGCAACCCCCCGGACTTGCGTTAGCTTACGTACTGCTTCCCCTAAAATAAAAATAGAAAGGGGACTAAGCGCGTGTGCATGACGCCGCGCAACGTGACGTGACATGGGAGACACATGAAAAAAAAAAACATACCGGTTACACGCCATGTGAAACTTCTGGCTCTCCTTATCCTCTTTCACACCCTTCAGGACCGCGTTGTCGGCCACGCCCGACGCGCGGAGCAGCGTGGTCAGGTTGTCCAGGCTGAAGTGGCGGTACGGGCAACCGTGGGCCTCGCCGGGGCCCGGTGCGTTATCGGTCAGGATCCTCTGGCAGCTGTAGGGGCTGTAGCCGCCGCTGCGGCGGTTCGAGTCGCCGCCCACGTCGCCGTAGACGTGCCGCACGTTGTAGCGGTACTCCTTGTTGAAGGTGTCGTCCGTGATCTTGCTGAACCCGGACCGCCAGAAGATGAGACACTCCTCCAGGTTGAGCCCGATGCCCTTGAGGAAGAGCGTGTACTGCAGCCGCCCGAAGTGCTTGAGGTGCGCGTCGCGCCGGAGTGACCGGTGCAGGTGGCTCATGCACATGGGGAAGTGCTGCGAGAGGTTGTCCATGTTGCGCGCCGTGATCTCGGCGCCCTCAACCGCCGCCCCGGAGCCCGTGTAGCTCGCGTCCGGCGTGGTGAAGTTCTTGGAGAGGTGGTCGAGGATGGGGGCGAGGCGGTCGTCTTCGTCTAATCGGGGGAGCGCGCGCGCTGTGAGCTGTGGGATTTGTTAGTCAAAAGTCCACCCCCCCAAAGTCCACATCATTTCATGTGTATGCCCACCTCTAACGCCTGCCCCAACCGCTTGCTGAACGCATTCAACACCATACTCTGCTGCTCTCTCCCAGGCACGTACGCCATGCCCGCCTTGACAAACACCTTGCGGCTCTCCACCAAATCCGGCACGCGCGTCCAATCCACCTTGCACCAGTCCTCATCCAGCACCTGCTGCGCGCGCTTGCCGTACCCAAACCCGACAGTCGTCGCCAACCGCGGCGCCAGCTCGCGCTTCTCCTCGTCCGACACGGGCTCCCAATCGAGGTTGAGCTTGCTCACGAAGGCGGCGCGCTCGCGCGAGTCGTCCGTCTGGAAGCGCAGGCGGAACAGCATGGTCTCGACGCGGGCGAAGCGCCGCCGCAGGTCCTCGGTCGACGAGAAGGCCAGCCGCAGTATGAAGTGGCTGTAGTGGTCCTGCTGGCGCTGTAGGTGCAGCTCCGAGTTGTTGGAGCTGCTAGCGTCGAGTGGGAGGTACTTGTCCAGGAGTGGCTTCATGTGCACGGCCGTTTCGGCGGGGGTCTTGTTGCGGAAGGAGCACGCTTCGAGTTCGGCGAGAACTAGGAGTATCATTCATGGTCATTATTGGGGACTCAAGATGCGGGACTGTACTCGCTTATGTTTGTACACTAACCTCGTAACCTGTTGATGGCCCATTGTTCAAACTGCTCGAGGGTGATGTCGGCGGTGGGTGGTGTTGCGTAGAAGTTCAGGCGGTGCGGGTACTGCGTCTCCTTATACAAAGGACCCGCGAACTGTTTCTTTCGGTGGTCGAGGACTCGCTTTTTAACATCGATACGATTCATCGTGAAAATTATGCGGCTTGTCTAACAGAATTCCCGAGTCTTGCTTGCTTCGTCGTGGTTCTGGATGGACACGGGCAAAAGGGTCCCGCAATTGGGAGACGCGCCTTGACGCGCTTTCTTTTGGCACAATTAAAGATGCCCAATCGTCGTGTCGCGCAAGCCGGATAAGCAACCCTAACCCTACTACATTACCTCCCCCCATCAAGCCATCAACCTTCAGGAAAGTCGTGCGTATGTACCACCTGTATGCCTAACATCAAGATGAGAGGTGTATTATTGGTATTTCATCTTTCTTCTTCCCAAGCGGGGTGTACCGTCCTAATATCACACAAGCACGAGTTGTGACCAGTATGCCAACGCCTCATTCTACCGAAACGTCGCTATTACCATGAGCCGTACATGCCTCGAACATCTTCGCTGTGGCCTAGACTCGCAGAGATAATGGAATACCGCCATGTAAAAAAGTGCGAGGTCTCCACGGGGCACCGCTGGAATTAGCACCCTCAGTCTCCGATGCATATCCAGCCGAGATCCCGCCTTGTGAATAAGATACATGTATTCCCGTCACCGATGCGTCTAACCCGGGCCGTGAAGCTAAAGCTGTTATCCTGGCTAACTGAGCGAGCCTCAAGATGGCGTTGCTTTCACACATTTGGGTTTGTCCCGGGCGCTGAACTGAACAGTCTCAGGTTGAGTGGCGGTAATTGGGTTTTGGATCCCTTGGACCAAATTTGGATTTTCTCAGAGAGGTGGCCGTATTGCAACGCCATTTCGTTGAATACGGTATTGTTGGAAATTACTCGGCCGGTGTGGTTCCTTCCGGGAAATCGTCGTCGTGTGGACGTGGCCGTCTCGTTTTGCTCATGCTGAGTCGCCGTCTGGGTTTGCGGCGCCCTGTTGTTTTCCCCACGCCATATACCCCTGGAGCTTCCACAGCATCATCTGTAGCGGACTGGTCGGCATCCTCCCCAGAAGATACAGAGACCCGTCCCGGAGCAGTTCGGCCTGCTGCCTCAACTGACTGAGGTGCTTCTCCCCCAGTAGCTCCCGCATATTGTGAACCGCGAGCTTTGCCCCAAATCGCACAGGCCCCATATCCATCGTCGACAACCTCGGCGGGACGTACTCGGAAGCCGACGTCGAGGACGCACTATTATTACCCGGGGGACCCAGATATAGCAGACATCCCCGATGGTCGAGTTCCTTGACATCGTCCCAGTGCTCGCACTTGATGAGGTAATTCCGGTCGAGGCCCGTGACCATCTTTGAAAAGTAGCACAGGCGCTCAACAACGCGCCTGCGCATGATTTCCAGCAAAACGGCGTCCATATCACTGCGCCAGTGGGCACGATTCAAGAGGGAGCCGGAGTTGGATTGCCCATATTGGCTCATGCGGAGAAGTCTTTTCTGACCCCTGAAGTACGGCGACTTGTCTCGCTGCAATTCCTGGAGCAGCTGTTGACGACAAAGAGTGTAGGCGGCGGGGCCCACCTTGTTGGAATCATTCAAGTATGTGGCTGGCTTGCCAGCCTTTGGCCCTGCCTTGGCCGACTCCGGTTGGCCGCGCGCCGGTTCGAGTGAGGGGGCCGCAGCCTGTTCGGACGCGGGGTAGGTTTCCGGCTCGGCCGGCGCGACTATGACTGGTTCTGGTATGGACTGGGCTGCTTCTGAAGGTCTAGGTTTAGCTGCTGTAGCCGCTGGCTCTGACACGGGTTGGGTGGCTTCTAAAGGTTCAGGTTCGGCCGTTGTAGTAGTGGCTGGTTGTGGCACGGACTGGGCAGTTTCTGTTGCTTTCGAATCTGGCATGATGGAGGAGGCCGGTACCTTCGTCTCCAGGCCGTGAGGCACAAACCAGGGGTCACTTGTCTCCGGGTGTGCGATGAGATTGAAGCGTTGGAGGAAGAAGCTGGGAAGGGCGGCGCCGGTAATGGGGCATTTCCGTATTGGTGTAGTCAGAGCTTGGGCTAGGGACAAGTCAGAGAATATATAGACCGAGAACTCAGGGAAAATTACCGTAGGGATTGCGGGCCAAATGCCGTTGCCATTTAGTTGATTTATGTTTAATGTGTCGCGGTTTGGGCTTGGTGAAGCGCTGCCTGGCTCCGTGGAATGTTGGGTCCATCAACGGGGACAACGGTAGCTGGCCAAAGGGCGTCTTGAGAGTTTTGTCTTCTGGATCTATTTGCACATCCAAGTAGGTATTATGTGAGACAGAGAGTGCATCTTGTGAGGTTTCTGGTGGTTGCGTATCATCGCTCTTGCCGGTCTTGTTGATATTGCTGCTATGAAAACTTCGAGCGCCGAGGGCCCGATATGTCCCACGATAAACCCAGCATATTGATGGGCGATACAAATTTCGGTGTACAGCTTTCATGACGAAGCCGGGATCAAGATTTCTAGACAGTCGACAATCTGAGTGTGAAGATGACCGAGATGAACCCTGATTCGATATTCTGAGACAAGGGGAGGAAATGCCCAGACCCAGACATCTTAGTGGAAACAGTGAGTGGACCGCCCGAGGTGGGATTTTGAATATCTTGGCGACGCCGAACCAGCCCCACCCGGCCATTGATTCACCGGCCGTCACGGTGCCCGCCGTGCCGCCTTTCCCTCATCCCACCGCGTCGGCCGGATACTTTGAACCACCCAACTCACCAACATGAATACCCAAAGAACAGCATTACGTCTACTCAAGGGGATAGGCACGCGGCAATGTCGGAGATTCTCCCAATTTGGCGCGCCCGCGGTGGGAATGCCACCAACAGGTCGCATCCCCATGCCCTACATCACCGAGGTCACAGTAAGTTGTCTCTAGCCCTCCGTCTTGTCGTATTGCTAATAGACTAGTCCGGTGGTTGGCGGACTTGTGAGTTCTAGTTGCGCAACGTTCTCGAGCTTCCAATAGTCGCTAATTACACCCCGAAGCCGACATCTTCTCCAAGTTGCTGCAAGTCAGTGCACACCCTTGTCGACAACCATCGGCGCAACACCGACTGACCTGATCAGGAACGCATAGTATGCCTTAACGGGCCCATCGACGATACCGTATCGGCAGCGATTGTAGCCCAATTGCTGTGGCTCGAGTCGGACAATCCTGATAAGCCCATCACAATGTACATCAACTCGCCTGGTGGCGAGGTGAGCTCGGGACTCGCCATTTACGACACCATGACATACATCAAGTCACCCGTCTCGACCGTATGCGTGGGCGGCGCAGCATCCATGGCCGCCATCCTTATGATAGGCGGCGAGCCCGGGAAGCGATACGCTCTGCCGCACAGCTCCATCATGGTGCATCAGCCCCTGGGCGGGACCCGCGGGCAGGCCGCCGACATCTTAATCTACGCCACTCAGATCCAGAGGTTACGGGAGCAGCTCAACAGGATCGTGCAGAAACATATCAACAAGTCGCTCGGGTACGAGAAGTACGATATGCAGGCCGTCAACGACATGATGGAGCGGGACAAGTACTTGACTGCCGAGGAGGCCAAGGAGATGGGGATCATCGACGAGATTCTGCACAAGAGAGAGAAAGGGGACGACAAGCCCGGTGTCGGCGACGGGAAGGTGAAACCATAATGCAGGCAGTCAATGACAGGGCGCGACATGGAGGGGTGCCCAAGACCACTTCGCGTTCCGAGATAATAGCGAGGAGCGGCATGCATGGAGGGCACCAGGATCCCACTTGATTTTAGCCATTGCCCTGGTCTTCGCGCTGATCAAGGTATCTATCTGCCTGCCCAAGGATGGATGGACGAGACCCCTCGTGTTGCTGAAGGTAATGAATGGACGGAAGCAGACAGTGAGTTTGGCAGAAAGAAAGTGGACAGTGGAACGCCTAGTATGTACATACCTTCTACGGCGGGAAACAGAGTCCTTTCGCTTGACTTTCCGACGGGGTTGAAAAGAGCTGCCCGATGTGCTGAAGTATACCTGACTTTCTTTCTCATGTCGAGTCACAGGAAGGTCAAAGCTCCCTGACACTTTCTCACAAGCCAATCGGGAAGCTTGTATTTCGACGAAGCTGTTGCGGGGATCTCGCGGGGACCCCTGTCTCTGTCCCTGTGACTTGGGAACACAACTATTATTTTAGCTCCGACTTCGCCCAAAAGTTCGACTCAGATTCCATTCCCAAGACAACTCACTCTTCAGACTTTGCTAGAGGGGCAATTGAGTGGTCTTTGTGTTTTTTGGTCCATTCAGATACGCCCTAGTTCTTTCTATCTTGACCAATTGGTATTTTTGTCTCTTCGTTGTTTCTCTCTAACGAGCGTCATGCTCTCTCCGTCTCTGCTGCGCACTGGCGCTCCCAGGGCCCTGGCCATGAGCCGGGTCTTGCCTTTTAGGAACCAGTAGTATGTCAAGGCCACCCTGCAATGCCACTTCTCATAGGAGCACAAACTCACCCATACCCCTACTCTAGCCGTCTCCTATCCACAACACCCCGCCGGTATGCCGACGAGAAGCTCAACCGGATTTCCTCCAAGATCACACAACCGAAGTCGCAGGGTGCCTCCCAGGCTATGCTCTACGGTACCGGCTTGACCGAGGCAGACATGTCCAAGGCCCAGGTCGGCATCTCGTCCGTCTGGTACGAGGGCAACCCCTGCAACATGCACCTGATGGAGCTCTCTGGCCATGTCCGCAACAGCATCGAAAAGGCCGGGCTCGTCCCTATGCGCTTCAACACCATCGGTGTTTCTGACGGCATCAGCATGGGCACCACGGGCATGCGCTACAGCTTGCAGAGCAGAGAGATCATCGCCGACAGCATCGAGACGGTCATGCAGGGCCAGTGGTACGACGCCAACGTGTCGCTGCCCGGCTGCGACAAGAACATGCCTGGTGTCCTGATCGCCATGGGCCGCGTCAACAGGCCTAGCATTATGGTCTACGGTGGCACCATCAAGCCGGGCTGCACCATGAAGGGCGAGCCCATCGACATCGTCAGCGCCTTCCAGGCGTACGGCCAGTACATCTCGGGCGAGATCGACGAGAAGCAGCGCTTCGACATCATCCGCAACGCCTGCCCTGGCGGCGGCGCCTGCGGTGGCATGTACACGGCCAACACCATGGCCTCGGCGATCGAGACCCTCGGCATGACCCTCCCTGGCAGCAGCAGCTTCCCGGCCGAGGACGCGCGCAAGAAGGCCGAGTGCGAGAGCGTGGGCGAGGCCATCAAGAACCTCCTCCGCGAGAACATCCGGCCTAGCGACATCCTGACCCGACAGGCGTTTGAGAACGCCATGGTCGTCGTCGGCGTGCTGGGCGGCAGCACCAACGCTGTGCTGCACCTCATCGCCATCGCCGACTCGGTCGGCATCAAGCTCACTATCGACGACTTCCAAGCCGTCTCGGACCGTATCCCTTTACTCGCCGATCTGAAGCCCTCAGGCAAGTACGTTATGGAGGACCTGTTCAAGATCGGCGGCACCCCGGCGCTGCTCAAGTTCCTCCTCAAGGAGGGCCTCCTCGACGGCTCGGGCATTACCGTGACTGGTAAGACCATGAAGGAGAACGTCGCCGACCTGCCCGGCTTCCCCGCGGACCAGCCCATCATCCGCCCCCTAAACAACCCGCTCAAGCCGACGGGCCACATCCAGATCCTGCGCGGCTCGCTCGCCCCCGGCGGGTCGGTGGGCAAGATCACGGGCAAGGAGGGCCTCCGGTTCGAGGGCACGGCCAAGGTGTACGACTACGAGGATGCCTTCATCGAGGCGCTGGAGCGGGGCGAGATCAAGAAGGGCGAGAAGACGGTGGTGGTGATCCGGTACGAGGGCCCCAAGGGCGGGCCCGGCATGCCCGAGATGCTCAAGCCCAGCTCGGCCATCATGGGCGCCGGGCTCGGCCAGGACGTCGCCCTCATCACCGACGGCCGCTTCTCCGGCGGCAGCCACGGCTTCCTCATCGGCCACATCGTGCCCGAGGCCATGGAAGGCGGGCCCATCGGCCTAGTCCGCGACGGCGACAAGATTGTCATCGACGCCGACAAGCGCGTCCTCGACCTCGAGGTGCCCGCCGACGAAATGGCGCGCCGCAAGGCCGAGTGGAAGGCCCCCGAGCCCAGGGCCAAGCGCGGTACCCTGAAGAAATACGCCTCGCTGGTCAGCGATGCCAGCCAGGGGTGTGTCACCGACAAATAGGGGTATGATGAGTAAAGGGGTATGGTTGAAAATGTGTTTCGAATTTGTGGCTGTACATATGTTTTGGGCTGGAAAAGGCGCTTGCGATTTTTCCGCTTGGCCGGTGCTAAAAGGGGATACCGGGTCAGCGGTTTATGATTTAATCGTCATGTTATTCATTTTCGCGTTGAAACAATCGTCTCCTTACAGGCGTACTTGCTGTGCTTCACGAACCACAGCCGCCTTGAAAGTTTAACAGATGCACCAACCAGTCTGAGCATGTCGCATTTTACCATCCATGGGACACAACACCCAAGTCATCCCTTGGCCCTAGGTAACCAATGTTTTTTCTCTCCCCATTACCACACCACATCACCTCTTCGCCCAAGACGTCAAAAACCTCTTCTTATCCTTCAACGTCAACCCAACCCTCTTCACCCTCCCCAACCGCGCCAACGCCTCCCCAACCCCATCCAGCAACTGCTGCTCCTCCGCCGTCGGCTGGTCCTCCGCGCGCCCCTCCCAACCACCACCACCACCACCCGCACCCCCAACCGCAGCCCCCGCCGCCCTCTCCGGCGCCCCATTCGGCGCCGCCGCCGTATTATGCACCGCCTGCGCAATGCGCACGCGCACACAATGCGTCGGCCGACCGAGCAGCTTCCACACGAAACCGGCCCACCCGGCCCAGCCGAGCACGGGGGTGGTGACGTCGGGCGGGGCGTACCGCAGGCTCAGCGGGAAGATGGCGCTCTCGGCCGGCGCGGTCAGCAGGCTGGGTCCCAGCGGCAGGATGCCCTTGCCGTTGGTCGTGCCGCATTCGGGGAAGACCGCGATGACGCGGTCCGGGAAGCGGGTGGTGAGGGCGCGGAGGGTGGTTAGCGAGGAAGGGGGGTGTTGGTTTTCCCACTCCTCGAGGGTGAGGAGTTGCGCGCTGGGGGAGAGGGCGGAGGCGATGGCGGTGAGAAGGGAGATGGGGCGGACTTTGCGGGAGGCCGGGTGCGAGGCGACGAAGATGGGGTCGAAGACGGCGGCGAGGTAGAGGGCGTCGATTGGGGAGGTGCAATTGGCGGCGATGATGGAGCGCGCGTGGGGGACGCGGGAGCGTGGTTGTTGGCTGAGCGAGCCGCGCTTGACGCCGTCGAGTTGGAGGTCTACCCACCACACCCCCGGGATCGCGAGGAGTGACCAGAGGAGGAGCTTGCGCGCGAATGTGGGGAGCAGGGGGAGGTGGTGTAGGACGAGGAAATACGCCGTTGCGTAGGTGAGGAAGAAGGGGAGGCGGGTGAGGAAGAGGATCGCGTGGAAGATGGTGGCCGGGATCGAGGAGGGTGTCGTCACCGGTAGGAAGGGGGAGATGCCGGAGCCTGTTGAGTGAGTGTTGGTTGATGATACGGATAAACAGGGTGGGTGGGATATGGGTGTAAGTACCTCTATCGCGAAACTGTGAGAACTTCTCCATGATGGGCGTTGTCTAGCTTCCTCGCTGGCTGCTGTTGACCGTCGATGTCTAAATAACTACACTCAAAGAAAATATGGCGTGCAGGCCGTTGCGTTGATTTTATGGTCGCATGCGGCTTCGGAGGTGCAGCAATGCTGTTCAGACAAAAGCTGCCCTGATGTTTCGGATGACCGGACAAAGATGGGTTGCCTACTTCAGGGTTTGGCTTGACAGAGACAGCTGTCCCTGGGAATGAATTCCTTCGATTGGGGTCTGTGGGGTGCATTGCGCGCCTACCACCCTGCTCGCTAATTAACATGTGAAGAAAAAGAAAAGAGCCAACCCTAACCCGATATGTAACAGGAACCTCTCGAGATGCATGTCGTAATTGGACCCCCCTGCTCTGGTTTGGTTGCCGGGGTGATGTTGATAAACCGAACTTTAAGCAAGCAATCTACGCCACTCCCATTGCGGAGAGACGAGCAAATAACTGCGACAAGAACCCCCCCCCCCATCATTCACGACGTCACCAACAACCACATCTGCACAGGGGGCTTTGCTCCTCTCCTACTTGCTCGTGCACTTTGTTGTCCCTCGAATGCGCATGCTCAACATGGAACCCTCCGAAAACGCGAACGCGGTACGTGCACCTTTCGACGAATTTGAAGCGTTGTCGCCCAATTCGACCTTACTTGCTAACCACAACACATCAATCAGACCCTCCGGTCGGGGCTGAGGCCTCCTCGAGTCCACGCTGGGATAGCTGGCCCAGCGGCAACCGCAACATGTCTCCAAGAGATTACCGATTCTCAACACAATTCACGGGTGCAGCAGACCGGAATCCCCCAAAAACGTACACACAAAGGAAGCGGTACGCATTACATCCTCGCCCGGACTTCCAATGCTCTGTTGATAACTGACCTGGAGGGGCCCGAGCAGTATCATACCCAGAACCGAAGCGCAAAACATTAGCAGAGCAGGCGGGCGAACCTTCCAGGCCTAGACTTCCTCCCCCAGCTGCCGGTCTATCGCGGTCTACGAGCGTTAAGGGCGCCTCGATTACCAGCCTTACCACTAATGCCACCGCCCAAACATCACGATATGGACATGGACGCACTGGCAGCTTCGCAAAAAGCGTTGGTCCCACATCTCGTCCCCCGGTATCGATGAGAGCACCGACCACGCTAGGCTTCCATCAATCCTCAACGACCCGACCACGTGGGAACACAAACACGCGGACACGGCCAGCGACTGCCATGACGAACAGAGAACTTGAGGATGAACCTGAACCGGCCAACCAGAAGAAGGGTATGCAGATCCCCGTTTTCTCAAACCTCCGTCTGCGGGATTCTATGTTGCGACGGACCATTTCTCAGCAGTCAGCGCTTTCGCAAACGCAGGAACAACGTAGAGACATCTCGTTGCTCGGCAGGCAACTCAAGGATTTGTCGCTTAATGATAAGCCCAACGAGAACTCAAAAGGGGGCCAAGTGGTCTCTAACCAATACAAGCAGCCTCCGTCCCGGCCATCCCAGTCAGAGGTCCCGACGGAGATCATAACTCCTACCGCGGTTCAACAAGACGACGCAGCCAGAGGAAACCCACTCGGGCCTGCCGACTCTCGAAACGCGCCTGCGCCAGTGCCAGCAACGCCACCAGAATCCAAAAAGTTCAACGCGGCGATGGACACAGTGCGCAAGGTCCTACAGAGTCCTTGCAAGGCGCCCTTTTCGCCGTCCAAATTGTCTGGTTCTCCGAAAAAGTCATTTCTCACTAAAGACTCGAATGTAACATCTTTTGCAGGTTGGGACGTCGACGGCCGACTAAACGAGTTTGAATCGCAATTCAAGGTGATGAAAGAGACCTTCGAGGGCACCATGACCGACAGGAAGGTCTTGGAGGAAGCGATCGACATGGCCAAGAATCGAGGTATATACCCTCAAGCCGCGAGTTCTTAGCTTAAATACTAACCACAGGGGGGTAGCGAGCGATCTCGAGAGGGAGCAACAACGGCTGATAGACCAAAACACACACCTCCAGGGCCAGCTTGACCTTCAACGACAGGAGAACCACTCACTACAGCAGGAGAAGCAATCGATGGTCCTCGAAATGGAGGCAGAACAACGAAGACAAAAATTTGAGATCGAAGATAGACAACGGGGGCACAAGCACGAAGTCGACGAAATCAGGCGTGAGTTCAAGGGCGAATTCGACCAGTTGAAGAGGGAGCATGCGCACGCTTTGGAAGCTATGGAAAGGCGCTACCGGGCGGAGTTGGCCGAGGAGCAGGCGCAGAAGTCCAGGGAGCTGCAAGATCTACGCTCAAAGCTGGGTGCAGAGCAGCAAGACATGAATTTGGATATCCTCAAGAAAGAGCGGGAAGTCCAGGAGATGCGGTCACAGGCCGAGATGCTCAGGTCCGACCTCGACCGCGAGCAAGCAATCAAGGCCACTCTCCAGCAGCAGATCGCCGAAATGACGACCACAAACATGACGCTAGAGGATCGGATGCGCGGACTGCGGGCCAAAATCGACTTCCTTGAATCGGACAGCAAGCAACAATCCGATTCGTACGCGAACATGGAGGCGCGCCTTCAGGAAGCCCTGCATGTTGCCGAGGAAGCACGGCAAAAGCTGATCAAAGAAGAAACCGAGCGCCGCGTGCTCTTCAACAAGTACCAAGAACTGAAAGGCAACATCCGCGTCATGTGCAGGGTCCGACCTGTCCTCGACTCGACAGAAGGCGAGGTCGCCAGGATAGCCTTTCCCGACGCCAAGACCTCGTCACAAATCGACGTCACCGGCCCTGAGGAGAAGAGCAGTTTGGGGGCCATCAGCCGCAAGGTGCTTCCCTTCGAGTTCGACCGCGTTTTCGACCCGCCGGTGCAGAACGAGGAGGTGTTTGGCGAGATCTCGCAGCTCGTGCAGAGCGCCCTCGACGGCTACAACGTGTGCATCTTCTGCTACGGCCAAACCGGCTCCGGCAAGACGTACACCATGTCCTCGGCAGACGGCATGATCCCGCGGGCCACGCACATGATCTACGACACCATCACCAAGCTGCAAGAGAAGTCGTGGACGTACACGATGGAAGGCAGCTTCGTTGAAGTCTACAACGAGGAGCTGCACGACCTGCTCACGCCCGGGCGCGAGGGGGACGGCCGCAAGCGGCTCGAGATCCGGCACGACGACGCGCGCAAGCAGACGACGGTGGTCAACTGCAAGACGGTGGCGCTCGACACGCCCGACAAGGTGGAGACGATGCTCAAGCAGGCGCAAAACAACCGCAGCGTGGCGGCGACCAAGGCCAACGAGCGGTCGTCGCGGTCGCACTCGGTCTTCATCCTCAAGCTGGTGGGCGAGAACAGCGCGACCAACGAGCGCTGCGAGGGCACGCTCAACCTCGTGGACCTGGCCGGCTCGGAGCGGCTCAAGCACTCGCAGGCCGAGGGCGACCGCATGAAGGAGACCCAGAACATCAACAAGAGCCTCGCGTGTCTGGGCGACGTCATCGAGGCCCTGGGCCGCGGGTCCGGCCACATCCCCTACCGCAACTCCAAGCTCACCCACCTGCTACAGTACTCGCTGGGCGGGAACTCTAAGACGCTCATGTTTGTCATGGTTAGTCCGCTGGAGGCGCACTTGAAGGAGACGATTACGAGTTTGCGGTTTGCGACGAAGGTGAGTTTTTTTTTTTTTTTATGCTCTGTTCCTCCAGTGATGGAAGGAAGGGTTATTTATTCATGGATTGGGACTAACGGCGTTGTGTGTTAGGTGCATAATACCCATATTGGCACGGCCAAGTCGACCAAGAAGTTGACAGCTGGGTCGCCCGAGTCGGGTCGTTGAGTGCTGAGTCGAGTGTGGGCGAGGTAGTGTGTTGTGTTGCGAGGCGGTGTTGTGAGAGTGTTTGTTGTTGATGGGAGATGGGAGGCGTCGGGCGGCAGTTTCAATGTTTATGATACCATGACTCACTCTATAGTATTTACCCCGTAGATCGCGCAGCGGGTAGCGATGTCGAGTATTGTTTTTTGTTTTGGGAGGAGGGTGTTGGCTCGGTTTTCAGGGGCTGACTGGTCGCCGCTGTGTTTCGGGGGTTTGGGTTGGGGTTAGGGGGGTTGTATCTTGGGAATGGTGGCTAGCTGTCCTTTTTTCTTTCGTTTTTTTATTTTTTATCAACCTCCCTGAATGTGGATATCACTTTGATCCTTGGCGATATGGTTGCGAGTCGTTTGATCCGGCGTTGGTGATACTTTGGGTTCATCGCATCAGGATCCATCTCATGTCTTCTTGGCAAACACAGCCTCCTCTCTGGTCAACAAAGAGCCGTTGGATGGTCAAGGAAGCGGCCATGTTAAAAGGAAAGCCAAGCCCCGATCTTTCGTGGTTGCTGGGAAATCTTATTGGGAACCTCCGACACGGACGGTAAAAGTGAAAGACATTGCCGCCCTCGTAAAACGTCAGCGCATCCTCCCAACATTAACACGACCTCGGACGTCGGCGCAGCGCGCAAGCCGGGATCCTGGACGGCGGTCCGATCTTTTTTTTTCGGCCTGCCGACTGAGCTCGCGCTCCGGCCTTGATCCTTGAGGAGCTCAGCCTGTTAGCGGGGTCGGCAAGTGGCGGCTCCGACTTGACATCCCACAATGGAACCAGCGTCGCATTCAACTCCTCCCGTCTTACACAACTGCCGGAACGAACTGTCAAGATGCTCCGACCATCATCGTGGATGTGGGATTATAAAGGATCCAGGTTTGCGCGATAAGTGATGTTAGTTTGTCGCTCTTCTCATCTGTTCATCGATATCTCTTCAGCATCATCTGCCCACTTGAAGAAAGAAAGTTACAATGACGCACGACTGTGACGTCCTCATCGTCGGCGCAGGCCCGGTCGGCACGGCTCTTGCGCTGGAACTCGCCCTGCACCGTGTTTCCTGTCGCATAATCGACCGGGAACCGATCCCGGAACGACAAAAGCCGGGCATTGGTCATGCAGCCCCGGACGCTAGAACTCCTGAACCGCCATGGAGCCGCCGACGCCATGGTGCAGCGAGGTCGCATCCTCCGAGGCATGCAAGTGTTTATCAATAAGGGGCTTGCCTCCACCGTCATTCTTGATGACCTCGGCACCACCGACACCGAGTTCACCTTACCTCTGAACGTCTCTCAGGTCGAAACCGAGAGGTTCCTGGATACATGTCTCGACAAGTACAACATCAAGGTCGAGCGCCCCGTCGCCGCCACCCGCATCATCCAAGACGATTCGGGAGTTACCATCACCCTCGAACGCCCGGATGGGAAGGTCGAGACAATCCGCTCCAAGTACGTCGTTGGCTGCGACGGCGCCCATAGCACGGTCCGCCACGCCTCCGACAAGATGACTTTCCCCGGCGGCGCCTACCCCCAAGACTTCGTCCTCTGCGACACGCGCCTGCGTGATTCCTGCATTCCCGTAGATCGCCTGTCTCTCGCCCTCAACAACAAGGGCATGGTCGCCATCTTCCCTCTGACACGACGTCGTCGCGTAGTCGCCACGCGCAGCTCCATCCGCATGGAGAACCAGCAAGAGCCAGAAGCCACGCCCACCCTCGCCGAGCTGCAAGCCTACTTCACCACCATGACCCCCGCCGGGTCCGGCACGCTCGACGACGCCACCTGGCTCACGCGCTTCCGCCTCCACCACCGCTGCGTCAGCCAGTATTTTGACGGGCGCCTCTTCGTCGCTCGTCACGGCCGCCCACATCCAAGTCGGCCTCGCCGCCGCCGCCCCTCGCCGCCATCCACGACGACCATCCAACAAGGGAGTAGACGGCTCGGCTCACCGCACCTTTCCCCTCGCAGGCTCAGACTTCAACCCATCCGCACCACCAGCGACCAACACCACCACCACCCACCACCACCACCCTTGCCGCCCGCCGACGTCCTTCCTCGACAGCTACGACCTCGAGCAGCGTCCCGTCGGCCAGGCCCTGCTGCGCGGCACCGACCGCCTCTTCACCTTCATGACCGCGCCAGGCGCCCTTTTCGTGCACATCCGCAACTTTGTCCTGCGCCACGTCGCCCCGCGCGTGGCGCGCAGCGCTGCGCGCCGACGGCAGATGTTCCTGTTCATGTCGCAGTTTGGGGTGAACTATCGCGGGCGGACGAGCTTGGTGGGTGAGGCGGGCCGTGGTGGTGGTTGGTTTGGGGGCGCGGGGATTAGGGGCGGGGATCGTTTGCCGGATGGGGTGGTGCGTGTTGGTGGTGGCGGTGATGGTGATGGTGATGGGAATGGGGAGAAGACGAGTCTGCAGAGGATGTGTGTTGGCGCGCCGCATCACTTGTTGCTGTTCTCCGGCGATGCGGCGAGGGGCGGCCGGGGGGAGGCCGACTTGGCCATGGCGGCGGAGAGCGTGGTGCAGGCTTGCTGGGCGGAGGTTCAGGTGCACTACATTGCCGGGGATGAGAGGGCGGCGCAGGGCGAGGACTGGTACGCGGACCCCCGCGGCGAGCTGCACCGCTTGTTTGGTTTTGGGAAGAAGGCTGGTTATGTGCTGGTCCGGCCGGACGGGTATGTTGCGCATATCGGGCCGCTGGCGAAGTTGCCGCAGTTGCTGTCGTTTTTGGAGGCGTATCTGGTCTCGTCGGTCGTCACCCCCCGCCGGGCACGCTTCGGGTTCGTGTATCCCCTTGCGTGGGCGGTGGTGGGTGCTTGTCTGGCTGTCAACCGGAAGTGGGTGGCAGAGGTTGCTCAGAGGCTTTGGCATGTTGCCTCTGGTCGAGCTTGATGGCGGGCTTTCCCCTTTTCTCGTCCTTTTTTTTTTTTTCTCTGCTCATTGTATACCCTGTACACTAGTTGTTTGAATGTATCATCTTGGTTAGCAGGTAGCGTTTGCTTTTATATTCCATGTACAATTACAAATCGGGGTCCTTGGGATTCCCAGAGCCATATGGATACTCTTGTTGACGTTTCCTATGCGCATGCCAGTCAACAAGAATGTCTGTTTAGGTAGTTGAGCCGGTCAGGTCTGCTGATGATTGCAAGATCCCTTTCATCCCACACCCGGCTACCGCCTCCTTTATCACCCGTTCCCCCGGGCGCCCAGATGCCGCTACGGGTGCGGCAGCGGTTAATATTGGGAGTCAGCCGAGTTCGAGACGTGGTCTCCCTACATAGATAAATACCACGGGGGTTGTCGTAGCCACCCACCCCTTAGCTGCGTGGTACCTAGGGTTAGACGGCAAGCCTTTTGTATTTGTATTTGTATTTTTCTTTAGTAGTCACTGCAAAGCTGCGAGTTTCGTCTTCCAAAAATGAGGCGACAGCAACTCCCAATCCGCCATTACGGTCAAAGTAATAATATCACTTTGACTCGTCTCTCTTGTCCTCTCACAGTAACCTGATACAATCCCAACTACATGTCTGCCAGATGAGTATTGCCAATCTTGTTACTCTATTTTTCTTCTTCTTTCAATGGCGAGCTATGAAAGTGCCGAGACTCAAGTCTTCGAGGTCTCCTTGCCCAACTCCAACGTACTCAACATAGCATCTATACTTTTTACCGTTGGCTCCAAAGCAGTTAGCAAGAAGACCGGTAACGAGTAAAACTTCATCTCCATGAAATTTATACTTCGCCAAACACTGGAGGAAGCGTGCAAATATCTCACTCGGGCGGGAAAGACGTCTGGTTTCAACAGCTCTTGGATGCTGTGGAACGTGAGAACAGTGGGACAAAACCCAGCAGACCGGCGCCGTAATACGACGGGATACTCGGAGGGTTGAAAAAACCCGCTGAGTGTAACACTCGTCTAATTTTACAACTTTTCTTACATCTAACTAACTATATCATTGTTCAGCTAATACTAGATACTGATCCCGCTCTTTAATTTATTTTCCATGCCGGTGAAAACCGCCGTTTATAGAATGTTTGTGATTAATTGAAACAAGGTCGTTATACCGCAGCTCGGTTTTACATTCCATGTCGAGGCTGTGGTTGTGGTGGTCCTGGTTGAATGTTTCGGCCATGATTTTGGTGGGGTCAGGGTGCTCTTAATATCCGCTCTTATCTGCAGCTCGATTCGGTTCCCAATGTGACAATGCCATACTCCGGTGAGCCCACTCGAATCCCGACGAATGCCCCGGAACTAGTCGGCATAATCGCCATCCACACCACGAAGCCACTTCAGACAACAACCCAGTCCACGCCGGCCAGTGAGCTCACCAGCGCCAATCTCAGACGTTCCTCACCTCACCAATACAAATATTTCTTTTTTTTCCTTCCCCAATTAGCGCCATCATTTGTTAGGCCATTGGCTTTTTATGCCGATCCCTGCCCAACCTTTTGCAATATCGAGAACCACAAAAAACCTTATCACCACCATTCGAGCTGAAACACGTCCCAAACCAACATCGGTTCTTCACCGTCACTATGTAACCCCTATCCACCCCCCGGTCGCGCTCACACCCAAGCTCTCCTTTTAACCCATAACTACAGCCCGCCAGCCAGCCGGCCGCCATCAATTGCCCACCCCAACCCAACCAACTCCAACCCAACCGATCAGCCACCCACAACCTACGGCACCAAACCAAACCACCGCACCATGGGCAGCAACAGCATGTTCGACGAACAGCCCAGCCTGATCCAGATCTTCGACCCGGACACGGCACCCACCCCGACGCCACCCACCCCGCTGGTCCTGATCCACGACGGCGGCGGCACCATCTTCTCGTACCACTGCCTGGGCGAGCTGGGCCGCACCGTGCACGGCATCGCGAACCCCCACTACGAGTCCGCCCAGCCCTGGGCGGGCGGCATCCCCGAGATGGCCCGCCAGTACCTGGCCTATGTCGAGTCCGTCATCGCGCCCGGGGGCGAGGTGATTCTTGGTGGGTGGTCCCTGGGCGGGCTGCTCGCGCTGGAGATGGCGGCGCAGGCGGCCGCTGCTGACCAGGGGCGGAGGATCCGGGTGGTGGGCATTCTGATGGTGGATTCGGTGTGTCCGGTGGCGCCGGCGGAGGGCGCGCCGCGCCCGGCGCTGGTGGTGCCGCATGCGGTGCAGTGGCATGAGCATACGCGCCCGGAGACGCGCGAGAAGGTGACGTGGTGCTTTGCCGAGGCGGTGCGCATGGTGGGGGAGTGGACGCTGCCGGTGTGGGAGGGCAAGGCCGGGGGTGGGCCGAGCCCGCCGCCCGTGGTGATGCTGCGCGCGCGGGAGAGGGTGCCCGTGGAGGTAGGGGTGAGCAGGGTGGACTTGCACCGGTCGGATCGGCTGCTGGGGTGGGGGGGTTATAGGAAGGATCTGATCAAGGAGATCATTGATATCCCGGGGCATCATTATAATGTTTTTGATACCGAGGATAACTTGGATGCGGCTACCGAGGCGATTATGACGGCTTGTTCGGTGATTGAAAGGTTGGATGCTAGCCGGGCGTTTTCCTGAGTTTGGCTTGGGGGCAGGGATGAGCGAGAGGTTTTCGGGATTGGAGCGTGTTTGTCTTGGGAGCACGATGCGGGCAGGCTGGGACTGAGCGGGAAACAAGCGATGTTGGATTTCCGTAGAGACCATCTTTGATAGACCAAATGGATATAGAAACTGTCTTTCCTACCCACTGTTTATTCGCCGGACTTTAGTCAGTCTAGTGATATCGCGGCTGTGTATCGTCAATGCCGTTCGGTTCAAGAGATAACCACTTGTTGTCCGTAGCTCATCACTGGCACCTAGCCCCCCTCTGTGCGCAACCCTTGAACAATAGCGAGGTGGTCATAGGAACCATGACCTGCTTCTGTAGCCTCTGTCCTCACCAGCTTTACTGTTTTCCTAACAACCATGTTTGATTTTCACCTGGTTAGATCAAATCTTAAAAGTCACCTCTCCGAGCTAGCTTCGATCTTCCGCTTTACTAATAAGACTGATGTATCTTGGACATCCATTTCGGTGTTACGGATGAGATACCCGTGGTAAATTGCCATACTATTCATCGAATATCAAAAGTTGGTTGGCTGGTGTTTTAAGTGATCAGCGACGCATTTTCTCTCCACCTCCCAAGCTCGTTTACACGCACTTCTTGCCTTACTCGAGAGGGGTAACGGCACGGTGGCTCGCAAAGTTGAAGAGCAAACTTGAGATGCAGTCCACCAGCGAACTGGCGAGGCAGTTGCTTGAGCCTGACGAGCGAGGACATGGGAGCGCCAAGAGAGAGCGATGATTCGAACATTTCTGTGTGACACCACAACCTTGGCGGCATCTGAAGTGGAACTCGGAAAATCGGTCGTTGGGGAAATCTAGGTGTTGATTGGTGGACATTTGAGGACCGACTCGGAGCGGAACGGTGACTCAATGTTGCGGCTGAGGCCACACTGAAATCCGAGCTCCATATCACGTGCGCGAGAAAGGCAAAGTGGGGCGCTGCAGATTGCAGGCGTGCACAGACCAGCAACACAGGCCTATATATTCTTCGCCTGGCCGCCAAATTCTGGAACTCTTTTCTTTTCTTCTTTAGCTCTCTTTGCCTTTTGGCTTAGATCAAGTGTAGTATCTGTTCTTTTCAGTTTAATCTCTGAAACTGCTCTACGGAGTAGATTTATTTGATTAAATTAATTTTTGTCCCTCGGGACTCAGTCCACTCGGCTTGCCGAGCCTGAATCCCACCGTGTCTCCAGTATTACACTGCCTCTGGACGACGCAAACCTTTTTCATTGCATTCTCGGGCTCTGCTTGGGATGTGGGGAAGAAGATTATGAAGCGCGACCTGTCCTGCAGTTGAGCGGCGCGCCATGCCCCTGCTGATAGGTAGCCTGATTGAAGGGTTTGGAACCAGGAGCGCAAGTCCAGAAAACGCCTTGGCTCGAACCCTAAATTGACTGTTCCAACACAACACAGCAATACATTCAAAGCGTACGCTTTGTTCAGCTGCTTCGCGATTTTGTTCAGTATGAACAATCCCGTCTTCGACGCCGGGTAAGTGACCTGCTTGTGACGTCGGTGGAGCGCGGGCAGCCTCGACCATCTATTTCTCGACGCCATTCGGATTTTCGACCGGCCATTTCGAGATGCATTTTACGAATCACCTACACGTTCATTGATACCCCCCATCTATTCTTATCATGGCGGGCCTCGCGGCTTCACGACACGCCACATTCCCGCGACGACCGACACGAAATGGCGATTATGCAGCCGCCGGCAACCTCGCGGTCACCCCGGCCCCAACGGGGGGCAACACCAACAACCCCATCCCCCGCTCCCCATCACCACCACCACCACGACCCCACCACGCGACAACAACACACACCGCCACCGCCGACGCCAAACGCGAGGTCGCGCGCCGCGAGCTGGCCCGCTACACCAAGATCGTCCGGCGGCTGCAGTGGAAGCTTCCCTTCCTCGCGCAGGGGTACCGGCTGGCGGTGGACCGGGTGGGCGCGGACCCGCTGGCGGTGTCGGAGGCGGAGCTGATGTTCAAGCTCGACTTCTTCGAGTACTACATGCTGGTGGAGCGCGCGCTGGTGCACCTGCTGGGGGTGTTTGGCGTCGAGGTGCCGCGGTTTGGGGTTGGGGTGGGGGTTGTGGGGGTTGCTGGTGGTGGTGGTGGTGGGGGGGCGGATGCGATGGAGATGGATATGGATAAGAGTAGGAGTAGGAGTGATAACAACAACGGCGGGAGGGGTCTTGGGGCGAGTGTGTGGCGCGAGGGCAGGCACCGGTATCATGCCAATGTGCTGGCGGCGCTGGACCGGGAGGAGAACCCGCTGCATGGTGCGCTCGGGACTGGGGAGGTGAGGGCGCAGCTGGGGAGGGCCAAGGATTTGCGGAATAGGTGGAAGACGGCGGCGGATGAGCCCGAGCCTGATCAGGGCCCCCGGGGTAGGTCCCCCGCAAAGGGCGGGGCGAGCTCGGAGAGGGAGTGGCGGTCTAGGAAGGTCGCTGCGCCGCTGGACTCGTACCGGCTCGAGCACATGTTGGAGGTCATCTTTCAAGGGTTTGACAAGGGGTTTAGGATTGCTGAGGAGTACGTGAGGGGCGAGCAGGATGCGGATATGCCCGACAAAGATGCGAGGGCGATGGATTGGACTGTCATCGGGAATGAGGAGGATCAGTGGGAGTTTATGGTGGAGGCTATGGACTGGGAGGCGGTTTGAACCGCCGGCCTCCTTGTGATGATTCTTTTGGTTACGGTTTGGCTATGTGGATTACATCTTTTGATCAAGCATTCCTACGGCAGGATAGTATATACCCAACCGCATCATCATATTCACCCATTTCCCTCCAAAGACTGTTTGGTCTTGGCCTAATATCCGGTGCTGATGCTGCGACTCATGGCCTGAATATCGAGCCCTGGTCACAAATATGCCACAAATAACCGCTCCCCAGGCGTCCGGACTTAAAGTTAGGCAACGGCCCGACCATGTTTCCCAAGCTGACAGAAGGAAGCCGCCGCCGCCCAAACACGCGCCGATCATACCAGTTACAACGGCCGCGAGATCCTTCGCCGAACAACTTGTCAGCTCGTGTCTGCATGTCTCGACAATTTCGTGGCTCAAGTCGGCGCGCGTGGTGCTCACCAACTCATCATCACCCCGTTTTCTGTTTTTGACTGGTGTCCAACAGGGCTGGGCATCCTCCGTACAGTTCATAGTTAGCTGACCAAAAGGGGAATTATTTCCCAGCAATGACATGTCGGGCCTCCCGTAAGTAACGTTGCTGCGAAGAGCCCCCTCGTTCATGTAGTTCTCCATTGTATTGTTTACACCGTGTAAATGAAGAATCCGATGCCTGGCAACTGGCTTCACTGTGAACCGGTCTATTCTGAATCAGTTGGTGGCAACGGTTGAGCACGGCATCGACCGGAAATGTGCCGTCTCTACCCTACAGCGACGGAGCCGAGCCGACCGGGAGGTGCTGTTCGGCATTCCGACGGAAGCACCGGCGCCGCCCCGCCGGTGCCCAAGCCCAATGTTTTGCAGTGGACGTAAATAACACTGGCAGTGCTGCGGTTGTCTCACTGTCAGTGGCAACCGGGGCCTATAGGTGCTGAGAGGTGCCATCACAGCGAGGCATCGGCTAGCCGGTAGATGATCGGCGCTCTGCCGACCTCGTATTGCAACGGTTAATTCTCCGCCGTGCCACTTTTTGATGGAGCACAAGGAAAAACTGGAGACCCCGCTGCAGTGTTGGCAGTGCGGCGGGTGCGCATGTGCTTGTTGGAATACGAAGACGGCAGGCATAGCTGCAGCTGCATCGGCTTCTTGCTGTTCGCATGCATTTGCGAGCAAGTCACGATGGCGCCGGAAACAGAATAAGGCGAGGGATGCAGCTTGGCAGCCTAACAGCCTACCGTTCGGGGGTGTGAACAGGGTTCAATGCCGGTTCTCGAACTTGGACCATGACGACACGGGAAGGAGCTTGTCGTATCGACGACAACCACGGTGTAGCGGGGGAGGAAGGTATGAAGGGCATGAAGGGTAGCAACACCACAACCACGATTTTCCTATAAATGAAGCTTCAGAACCTCGTTCAACCTGCTCTTCTCTCACCATCATCATCATCAGCTCACAACTTGGATTACCAGACTACTACCACTCACCAAACATCTTCAGACATCTTGCAATAGTCTATCCACCAGACCCAACTTCACCATCACCATGCAGTTCTCCAAGATTCTCAGCATTTTCTCGCTCGCCGCGGCCACCTCGGCCGTTACCGGTCCGCCAACACCCATCCTCTCCGTTCATATCCATGCAAACAACTAACACTGACGTAGTGAGCTACGATGAGGGCTACGACAGGGCTGATCGTTCCCTGACGGAGGTTGCTTGCTCGGACGGTACTAACGGCCTGATGTGGAAGTACAACTGGTAAGTCAAGACCGGCTGTTCCTTAAATAGACTACCATAGAGACCACAAGGCTAACATCATTATAGGAAGGTTCTGGGTGACGTTACGGGCTTCCCCAACATCGGCGGCTCTGATTCCATCCCCGGCTGGAACTCCCCCAACTGCGGCACATGCTGGTCGGTGAGCTACAACGGCAACACGATTCACGTTGTGGCCGTTGACCACGCCGGCGCTGGCCTCAACCTTGGCCTCAATGCCTTCAACAAGTTAACGAACAACCACGGCGTCGAGTTGGGTCGTATTGAGGCTACGGTGCAGCAGGTGGCTCTCAGCAACTGCGGCCTCTAGGGGGTTTGAGAAATGTACGAAGCATCAAGGGTTGGCATCATTGGGTTGGTTTGGATTCATTGCATTAGTATCATGGACGTTTAGCCATGATCTCGGATTTATAACGCAGTAATGAGATTAAGATTCTTCAATTCCATGTTCCCAATGAGTCCGAAGTGCTAGGAATGAGGCCATATCGGCGAGCATCACTGTGGAGTACCAGTGGCCGAGCCCTTCATACGCCTTCCATTCGGTATCCATACCAACGGCAGCCAAGCACTCGGACGCCGCCTTCCCACGAGTAACCGGGACCTTGTCATCCTCAATCCCATGCCCTAGAAACACCGGCGTATCGAACGACTGCGGACGGCCAGCCGGCGGCTTCCCCTCCAACTCCAGCATCTCCCTCAACACCCTTACCACCTTCCCCTCCATAGCTACCTCCTCCTCCTCCTCCTCGTCCTCCTCATCCCTCTCAAACGGATCAAACCCCCCATCCCCCTCGCCCAAAACCCCCCTAACCCCGGCCTCAAAAACCAACCACCCGCACATCCCCCAAAACCCCGCCAGCGCCGGCCCCTCCCACAACAGCAGCGCCACCAACCCCGCCGCGCACCCCTGGCTCAGCCCCCCCAGCACCACGTTGTGCGGCCCGCCCACCGCCGCCGCCTCGGCGCGGATGAGCCCGTGGAGATGCCGCACCGTGTCGCGCAGGCCGGGGGCGCAGCGCCATTCTTCGGTGGTGGTGCTGGTGGTGAGGGAGGGGGGGAAGGTTGAGGTGCCAGCTGTCGAACCATTGGTGGATGATGCTGCGGGCGTATATGGTGGCGCCGTGAACGGGGGCGAGCCGTACGACGAATCTGTTTTCGCCTTGGAGGGTGCGGAGGGTGGTTAGAGAGGTGCTGGGCGATGGGAATTTGTTCGGGATATGATGGAATGGCGTTGGTGTTCTGATGTGAGTAGCGATATGAAAGGGGGTGAGATGAAGTCCTGGCCGAAGGTATCCCAGCTTAGGCCGCGGCCGTGGAGGAGGATAAAGGTCTGTCGGTGGGGAAGTGAGAGGGGTGGTATGGAGCGGGCGGGTGGAAAGAAACCTGGTGGATCGGGGGCCATCTTGTCGGTTTCAGGGTAGGTTGTTGATAAGTTGCCGTGGGTATGGTTTTATGGCTATTAATGAGGTTGTCAATGCCGTTCAATGTCAATGTTGTCGGGAGTCGTCAAATAACGGAGTGAAACCCACAAAAATCAGGATGCTTTAGTACAGAGATGCCGGTCAACCGCAAGGGAAGTGGTCCTAGGACTTCAAGTATCTCACGAGCCTTCAACCCATAACGTGATTTCGGTCCTTTGGTGACAAGATAGTAACGAGTTCGAGGCCAAGAGGCGTTCCTGCTGCACGATCATGCCCTCCGGTGCCAAGCACCGGGCCACCATCCAATGGCATGTTTGTTGGCCGAGCCCACAGCGAGACATCAAGGTCCCCGCTCCTCGTCCTCAACTCCACCACCTAACTTCACGAAGGACGAAGCCACTTTCTATATATTATATCTAGCAAGACATCGCACTTGGTAAGATATTGGGGCCAACTTGGGAATATTCGCCTCCATAAATTGTCTCGACCTAGCTTCAGCCTGGCAACCGTACCGAGCCCCTCGCATCATATGCCAGCAGCTTCGTTTCATAATTACTTTCTATTTCCAAGAACTTAGATGTGTTTTGCTGTACGAATCGTTCAACGTCGCCCCCGGTGTGCCTTCTCGACGGGCTCATGAACTAACCTGCCCATGGCCGCCGACCCGTGCTACTTCTCACCCGAGCGGGTGGATGTTGCTCTCCTCGCTCTAAGACCAAGAGTTGCACGCTATGGGGATTAAACATTGGACGAGCTGTAGTAACCAAGCTAGGTCCATACCTACCTATCCGACTACTTCTGCCCCTTACCCCTGAGCAACCCCATCCCGTCCTGGGCCGCCCAAACAAAGTTGCACGCCCAAAAACGAGAACGAGAAGCAAACAAGCTACCCAAGGAACCACCACCAATAGGCCCGACCTCTGCGGCGACACCGACGACGCATACTGTATGTAGCATGTCACCACACTGCACCAACGCCGCCTCCATACTCCAAGACCGTAGTTCAGGACAAACTGCTCGGTTCCTTCAGACGGTGCTGATTAGCACCGCTTGCAGACGGGCACCTCACCCTCCCGCCAGACCTGGGGGGAATGAGGATGTGGGGAACTGTGATCGTTGGCCCAGATAGACGAGGTGAGGTCTTTGCCCAAGAGGTAGAGAAGAGTTTGGGTGGGATGGGTTTGGTTCGGCGTTTTCGGTGTTTCTTATTCACTGTGCAAGGAGATTCATGGGTGTCGGAGTTCAAGCGGAGTTCCTAGCAAGTTCCGTCCTTCGTGGCTACTGTTGATGATGATCTCTTCAGATCGGGCATCTCAAGGGCTACGGAGTTGAGGTATTTGGGGTACAGCAAGCTGAGGCTCTAATGCAGCACAACCAGCATGCCATGCATGACGGGCCGACTGCGTAAGCGACACATATAAACAACAACATCGGGTGTGACCGGCCGCCCACTTCCCTACCCGCACGCGGAAGCGGCCTCTCGTCTCAGATCCATCTCTTTGGCATTCCTGGCCAATGACCATGTCTGAGATTCGCGAAGGGCGGTGTTCAGGTAGGGGATCTCGACCAGCGTTGACTAGCGCGACGCAGGCACGCCAGGGGCAAAGGACCGACTGATGATGCGCGTCAACTACTAATAGCGCAAAGGCGCGGGAGGAGTGTATAGAATGGGAACAGTTCTTGTCGTTCGCCGAAGTCGCCGCCCGGCTTGGTTCCCCTTTCCGGACAGGAGCGACACCGCCCTGCAACCGAACCTTGCTCCGGTCTCCGGACGCCGGCATTCCCCGCGCATGTGTTGAGATCAGGACCTTATGCTGTCGACCGTTGGGGGCTTCGGGCGGTCCTACAGGAGGATCGCGGAGAAATAACCTGGAGAAAACAAGACGGCTAGCACGAACATCGGCCCGAAGGGCTTGGTTCAGTAGAACCTATGGGTTAGCGTGGTGTAAGAACTGAGGTGGCAGCTCGTTCGGGCAAGCTTGGACATAGTTGTTGTCGTGATAATAGAGTAGCGAAGCAACCCCGCTCTCATCCACTTCGGCCCTACCTGATATGCAAAGGGTTGAAAAGCTTGCTTGACGATGCTGGGTTGGGGGTTGAGGCACAGGATATCCTACCCCACAATCTGGCCGAAGTCAAAATCTGGGGTAGACTGCTGGGAGTGGGTGTGCCTGGACGGGGCCGCGATGCAGCAATACTGTGTAATAAAGGTCAACGGCGCTTTTAAAACTGTGAGCGCTAATGCATCAAGGGATCGAAAGGTTGCGGGGTTCCGTTTCGAGGTTGGCATTCGTGCCAAAGCACGAATATTTCGGAGTCGAGGCCGAATGGCCAATTCGAGTCGCAATCACAAGGCTGGAATCCAGGCTCAGCCCTATTGCTAGATTAGCGAAAGCGACACAGCGCGTTTTAGGCCGCCGAGCGAGGAGTGCGTAACACGGCATGATTTGGAAATTCGGAAGTTTAATGTTGCAGTTCAGCTTCCATCTGAAGATGGAAGCCAAGGAATGAGGCTTCGATCTCACTTTTTTGGGTGCGTTTTGATGCGGGGCGGTTTTCAAAAGGACAACGGGCTGAAAGCGAAGCCTTGTCGGCCCTATTGTGGGGCCACGGCGAGAGAGCGTTGCCATCCCTCCGCATTCCACGCCCACACATCGCGCAACCCCAGCTTTCCCGCACTCCGATGCGACCTGCTTCCCGTTTCGCCGTCTTGTGTGCCGGAGGAAACGGCTGAGTTAATATTTGTCTTTGTCCTCGCACCGTGCATCATCCAGATCTGATGGACATGTCTCAGAGTTTACCGCAGGGCTGGGTTGTCGCCGCTCGCCCTGTCCTGACCCCTCATTCTGGGTCCTTTGCATCCCATCTGAACTCGATGACATGGAGTGGACACCGGGGATCCCGTTCGTGTCAGCGTCCAAAGGTAAAAGAGAAGTGCTTCGGCAGATGCGGAGTGGGCCAACACCACCGCCTCGGCAGCTGCGCGCCAAGCAGACAGACGGTGCCAAAAAGAGCGCAGAGAGAAGAAACGGAGACGCCACATTCTGTTTGTGACGCGAGCGACTTACTTCTCTTGACTGCAGGCCGACGAACCTGTGCTGCGGCTTGTCGTTCCCAGAAGCCGCGCCTTCTCGTTTTCGGGACGAGCAATCCGTGTGATGAGACCCTTGAGGCGCCCAATTCCCAGCTCTTGAATCACACTCCAGACCACGACACCGTACAATTTCCCTGGAAGCTAAGCTACTGCCTACCACCCATCTCGCAGTCTGGTTGGCGATGGTCTGATGCGGGCTCGGGTCACTGGTATTTGTAGTTACCTAGGTATGTATGTATTGATGTAAACTTGGGTGCCTGGAAGTGGTGAAAGTCAGACACACTGGGACGAGAACGAGTGCTTCTTTCCAAGCAAGCAGACCCATTTCCCAAATTTGCGAGGTTTCGAAACTGGGACGTTCATGCGCCAGCGAGCCAGTGAGCCAGTGAGCGCGAGCGGAAAATAAGAGGATGGGGACTCCGTTTTGGGTGAACGGCGCGCCATTATTGGTTCTACTTATAACTATGCGCACAGGCAAGAAGTCCAGCCGTCCCTGCCGTCAAATGAGAGCGGACCCTTGGCTGACCCCTTGCGGTTTTCGCCCTGGCCCAGTGTGTTCCCCCAGGGCTTCTTTCATTTCCGTCCCTTCCAGGTTCCTCTCCTTCTTCACACCCATCCCGTCGCCGTGCCTACTCCAACAAACACATATCGTCAAAACCCAGCCCACCTCACGACATTCTCGACGACAAATGCTACGCCCGAAACACGAATTTTGGTTTTAGTCCTGGACTCACTGAGGGGCTGCCGTCTTCAGAGCGCGGTCCCTTTCTGGGGATCTTAGCGACCACTCTACCGGGCCGATTCAACCCCAGACCGCCTGCAATTGACTCTGGAGTCCCCACGATTGCGCACCGTCACCCCAGACCAACGGTTCCCGACGCTCTGGATCTCGTTTGAATAAGGCTGTGGATGCGGCACTGTCACACGCGTTCCCCGCCCTTCGCGTTCAGCAATTCAAGGACACCGACGGTAACACGGCACAGTCGAAAACTATGACGACGGCGGCAGTGAAGCGGGCGTGTGACGCCTGCCATCGTCGCAAGGTGAAATGCGACGGAATCACGCCTTGTCGCAATTGCTCGGCCTCCCAGCTGGCCTGCACCTACAATGCGGTCCCGCAAAAGAAGGGACCGAAGGGGTCCCGAGCCAAGGTCATCAACGAACTGAAGGAGACGCAACGCCAAACCAGCCTCTCGGCCAAGTTGCACGGTGGCATGAACGGCGGCATGTCGAGCCCGACTCTCGCTCCGACGCCGGGGCTTTTGACCAAGGAGATGCTCAAGACGTGCATCGAGTTTTTCTTTGCCCACATGTACCCGACTCTCCCGATACTCGAACGCCAGCGCCTCGAGCACGACGCCATGTACCTGGACCAGAATCTCGACACCTACTGCCTCCTGACGTCCTTCTGCTCGTTTGTCTGCCTCCAGCCGGGCATGGTGATGCCCGGCACCATGCCCGGTGCGGGAATGAACGACCCCTTTGGTTCCGACATGATGATGTCTGGCAACAACATCGTCACCAGCACGCATCTCATGGACGAGGCGATCCGAGTCCGTAAGGGTTACGACTATGTGGCTTCGCCAACCGTCAACAACCTCTGCACAAGCTACTTTTTGTTCGCGGTACACCACGGTTTGGCTCTGCACGACAAGGCGTGGTTCCATTTGCGCGAAGCCACAACCCTGACGCACATGGCCAAATTGAACGAGGAACAAACCTATCTGCAGTACGACGGCAACGATGCATCACGGCGCAGGCGCTTGTACTGGCTCCTTTTCGTGACCGAACGGTTCGTGACAGTCCTTTGCGGTCGATTATTTTTTTGCTCTATTTCCCAAACTTGCAAGCTGACAAAAAAACCAACAGCGCCTATGCTCTACAACATCGTCGCCCGCTGACACTCCAAGCCAGCATCAACCCCCCAACCCCCCAGGAACACCCCGCCGATCCTTTTGTGAACCACGGCACGAGATCTTTGCGCATGATTAACCTCTTCCGAGGTTTTGACGAAAGCTTGACCCCGCTTTGGACCAAGTCAAGAGCCGAGTGTTCTGATTCATACCTCGCAACCCTCGACAAGCAGCTTCAAGAGGTGATGTCTCCGTACGCAAATGACACGCAGGCTCAACTCGCCGAAATGCTCAACAACCAGCAATGGCTGAAGCATAAAGCTTGGGGCCTAAGCGCAGCGACCGGCAACGGAAACAACCCCGAGCCTTCGTATATGGATAATATCCAAGATCTTCTCCCGATGGTGTCACACTTCCATGGCAACTTGGGTTTGCAGGGCCTCAACCTGTGTGAGCATTTGTTCAATGTCACTTGCGCCGTGACCGACATCCTCGCCATCCTTCCAGCACCCCGGACACCCTTCAGGACTCAGCTTGGACCCCAGGACGAGCTCCGCAAGATCTTGAACATCGTAACGGCTATCCGCAACGGCGACCATCGATTCCTCCCGCTATTGCTGAGCAAGGTCGCCTTGGCTCTTCCGAAGCTTGCCAGCCCAATGCTTGAAAACGAGCCGGAGAGCGCCATCCCCTGCAATATGGATATGGATATCTTTGATGGGTTCGGCAGCAGCAGCATGTGTCCGCCGGCGGTTTATTCCTCGGCAGACTACGACAATAAATATGCCGTCCCACGCTTCGATGACATGAGCTCGGATTCCAACAGTCCCAACGGGCCCTCTTCGAGCAGCAACGACATGAATTCGCCATTCGCCAGTTCCCCAGCGATCACTGTCCCCTGGTGTGGAGATGCCTCGTAACCTGCAAACCGAGTTCACTTCCATACCCGAGATGACGGTCATGAGTCCCATAACCCACGCACCGCCCTCGTTGGGCACGCCGGGAGGTATGAATCACCAACCGCATCACCATCCACACACACCGCTATCGCCGTATCCAAATTCGAACCCTCATATGCAGGGTTTGAATGCCAACAATGTCAACCCGCCGCCCAACATAAGCCTCGCCTCTCAAATGCACCCCGGTCAGGGGCTCGGCGGTGGGATAAACAACGGCCTGGGGCAAGGAGTCAACAACAGTAACTTGATGGCCAGAGCGCCTCCGCAACGAGCGAACAGTTATGCCGCGAACTTGACCCAAATACGAACGGTCGGCGACTTCCATGCACTTCAAAGGTCTAATACGGACATGAACCATCCCATGGGCTCGCTTGCGATGAGCCCATTAGAACCCGGCATGGACTTCAACTCCTTGTCAAGATAGCGACGCTGGGCTACCCGATGATCGCTTATTTATTTCTTTTGTCGGCTTCAAAAGGTCCGTCAGCAAGCATTCAGCATCTATCCTTGGAGTATGTCTGGGTTTTTTCCGGAAGCCTTTCCTCTCTATCCCCTTGTTTGCCACTTGATTTTTTTTGGATTTTTTTTTTTTATTTTTTTTTTTTTTTTTTGGATTAGGGGAGGAGGTTCTGGATTCCGAAGTACGAATGACGAATCATCAGGGGAACAGTACCAGAACGGACAGAATTCTCGCGGCACAACACCACCTTTCTTTTGTCTCAGACCCAGCAGTTGGTGCGTTGCTCTCAGGATTTTGGATGGGGGCCATTTTGTATAAAGTTTTTTTCGTATAAGGAAAGCGGGACGGGTGTTTGGGGGTTCTAATCACGGGAGGGCCAGCGTTTTGGGTGGTGGAGTCGGCGAGGCATGCATGAGCAAACATGACAACCCGTTGGAACAAGTTTGTGACAGTTTCCTACTAGCTTCCCAACCTACCAGCAACGTGCAAGTCGTGTTAGCTTTGGTTAGTGTAACAATAGAAATGTGATATAGTATGGCCGTCCCTGCTTTCTCTTCCCTTTTCTAGAGACCGAGCTACACCGTGGCCTCCGACCCGCGTCTCGAGTTCCTTCCGCCGTCCCGGTCGGACATCGGGTGTCAAGTGCGTCACACGGGACAGGTGACGTGTTGCGACGGCAAGGAGGGCCAGACTGCATGTCCAATACGCGCAACGGGGCTCTCGGTTCCGGCTGCATTGACGCCGGAATTAGAGTCAACGGAGCACAAGGATGGCACACATACACAGTACACAGCACACCACGGCCTTTCGTTCCTGGGGTTAATAAATGGAAGCGGACGTACAGGAGGAAAGGTCGATAAAAGAAGGGTGGATAATACGTTTGAACGAAGCAACCAACAGACACGTGGGTGATTCGGGCTTTCCCCCAACATCAATGTCCATGCATCTTCCAGTTATGCCGAACAGTCTCAATTTCGTGAGTGGCATCCGTTGTTGTAAGGTTCGGATAAAGGACTAACAGTAAGTCGTTTGACGTCACCTCTCGTATGATTGCCTGGCTCCCTATAGATCGAGGCGGAGGCTCCAGAGTCGTTGGTGTTTACATCCCCTTATGGATGGCACGACCTACATGTATCTACGGAATAGGCAGCGCAACCCTCAACGCCATCCTTCAATAACGGGTGTACGATGGTGTGAGCCACCCACAACACGCGTCTACGTCATATCGGCGTTGTGGGTGGCAGCCTGGTAAAGCTAAAAAAGGCTGCGGACCTCACGCTCACATGTCATGCCACAACAGATATTTGCGAAGTTCGGACGGCTTTCTCAGACGGAGGGAGACAATGGTCGAGACTTTCGCAAAACGTCATGACTATGACCTTGGAATGGGGCGCTTTGACGGTCAAAGGCTCCGACGGGGAGTCATGATAACCGATAAAAAGTCGGAAGGCAAAGGTTGAGAAAAAGTGTTGCGCTTTTCTTTTCCATCACCCCAGAATTGTAGCGTTGTGACTCTCTCTGTCTCGCCATCGACACATCCCAGGACTTGATTCTGTACATTTTGTGTCACCCACCCTTGGCGGACATGAACCACACGACGCCGATTCCCGTGGCCCTCTGCTGCAAAGACCCCCAGCTCGCCCAATCCGTCTGCGAGAAGCTCCTACCCCGACCTTGATGGTACGTCACCCTACTTATCCTCCTTATCCCCCCCCCCCCCCCCTTCTCCCCATCTCTGTTACCTCCGCTCCTCACTTCGTTGTTTTCCTCCCCATCGACTGACTCTACCCTCACAAAGTCATCCACGTCTGCCTGGACCTGCCCACGGCCCTCGCCGAGCTCCCGCAGCTCTTCTCGCCCATGCCCACCAACACCAGCACCGGCGAGACCACCAACCCCACAGCCACCCCCCTCGCCCGATCGTCACCACCATCGCCGCCGCTGCCAGCCTCAGGCGTCGGCAGCAACAGCACCCACCTGCGCCCAAGTTCCGCCACCCCCCGCCCCACCAAGCGCCCCCAGGCCGTCCTCTTCAGCCATAAGTTCACGCGCGACGAGGCCCACGCCGTCACCGACGACGTCCTCGGCGCCACCGGCGGCCCCTACTACACTACACACCTTCTCTTGCCGCCCCAGGGAGGAGGTGCATCACCCTGTCTGGACAAAGGTTGACAGGCGATTGGGGGACAGCACGATCACTGCTTTCCCATAGGACCGATGTATGGCGTTTGTGCAGGCGGTACGCATCTATTTTAGGGTTGACGAGAATTGAGCTAAACCGCACCAGAAATCAGGT